TCGGCCGTGCTCAGAAAGACCAGTAGTAAGCACTTTTTTCACAAATGCTAATAAAGAGAATATTGTTCTGACAACCTCGCAGTGTAGCAAAGGTGGGGATAGCCTTTGAGCTGGGAGGACAGCATGTTGTTTTTTTTTTTTTTTTTTTTTTTTCTGCAGGTCTCAGCATCAGTGTTTCTGCCATTCATTATGACCTTATGAATGCAAATCACCAATCTCCTCTTCCATCAAAGATCAAAAGGCTACTCTGAAAGAAGCAGGGTTACTGTGATGCTAGTATGGATCACTTCTGAGAGCACCAAATCCAGATATTTGCTGCTGTTAGTAACACCACAAGTCTCTAAATTAGCACTCACTAAGTTACATGCTGTAACTGCAACCCAGAGGTGGTGTAACCAGTAACTACAAAACCTTTCCTAATTTCTCAAGTAGCTTGGGGTAATATTGACCTGGGATTGCATCTGTATGAATCAAACTGTGTTTGCAAGAAGGTAAGACGAGAGAAGCCTTTAGTGCAAGTGTGCACAAAGGATGATTGGCCACAGGAGACAACGTTGGATTGGCTCAGAATAGGAAGCTATGTCAATCTCCTAAACACTGGAACCAACAAATTTGAGTGAGATACACTGAAAAGATATAAAAGGCAAGTGAATTTGCTGGGGTTCTGCTTTGATCAGCTCATTTTGGTGATAGCCATTGGTATACACAAGATCTGAAAGGCTTTTTGTTTAACTGAAGACAGTTTCAAACTGTGAACAGCAACAGAGGATGTTTAAGCACGACGCTTTCTGACTAGTCTTTTCTCACAGGGTTATGGTATAAGACTTTGCAAGAAAGCATGTTTGTGCAGTGCCAAACACGATCACATGATTTGACTGGAGCTGCATTACTTACACATAATAACCTCTGATCATCACCCATGTTCTTGGAAGTGCCACTGATGTAACTGAAAACTTGCCTCACAGTCATGAGGGATGTAAAGCCACAAGCAAAGATTGCCTTACTTGGAAATAAAACTCAGCCCCAGACAGCCACAGCAGGGAAACTAGGAAGTTTACAGGCTCCCTGCTAAGGGTTTTTCAGAAGATAACATGAAGAATGAGGCAAGCTTTTCTGAGCTTTCTGCCAGCAGCCAACACCTTGGTGAAACATGCTTACTACAGACTACTGGGAAAGGGAGCTATCAAAGACTGTACAACAGCTTTACTACTGATTCAACCACCCAAACAAACTCTCAGTTCTTGAATTAAAGGCCTTAAAGTCATTCAAGTTTGTGAAGACAGACTCTTTTGAAGAAAGACTACTGAAATGGCATTGGGCTTCCGTGTGGTATATATCAATGGCTCCAGATCCAATGTGCTCAATCTATAATGAGAATTGCTTTGTGGCTGAAGATTGATGGCTTTCCAGTTTGAGTATTAGTTTTCATTTTATTATTTTTATTTTTTTATGTAAAGATTCAGGAGAACCTATTAGAACTGCATTGTTAATTATACAATCTATTCTTCAATGAGATAGACGTAAATACCAGATTAGATGATAGTAAACAGTTCTCTCAATCCTCCCTCAAAAGAAACAGAATCCAGCTCTGTCTTTTACAGCTGTGTTAAGTTTATAAGGTTTAATGGCAGCACATAAAATAGTAAAGCTTATTTGTCACTAAACTGATTTGGCTCTGAATATGCACAAGGGAAAGATCAGCTAAGCTGGAAGGTGTCACTTCTACACACAATTTTCAGGTTACAGCTGCATTTTAAATGTAAAGAGCTTTTACAAGGCAAAGTTATTCTTATAAACAGATACTAAAGACTTCATGGAAATCAGTTTAGTCTTCCTGACACTAGAAATGCCCCTTCCCCCACTGACGTGGGTGGAAACTTAAAATATAATATTCCATCCCAATGTACATTTCAACTTGGTTGAGTTTTTCTTCCCTAGTGAAATACTAAAAGTTGGCAGCAGTGTGTGCAGGTAGGACCAATACAGCAGCTGCTATGTCATTTGGACATTGGCAGGTACTCTGACATACCTCTGCTGTTCAACAATAACTTGTTCTTCAATGCTAATGGCTAGATGCAGAATCATTTCTCAGATTGATGACTACGACTAGCAGAAGATGAAATAACATTAAAAGGACTAAATAAATTTGCCTTGTTATTAATTACAAGTTCAGTGCTTTATAGTGGGTGAAGAGATATTCCTCATCCCCACCACAGCTTTCACATGGCTGAGCCAGGCATAATACATCTCATTTGCTCTTCCTGCTCCAGTGTTAACTCTTTGTACTGGGTCTGGCTGGGATGTTAACTTTCCCTGCAGCAGCCCATACGGTGCTGTACTCTGCACTTGTAGCTGGAACAGCAGTGTTATCACATCATTGTTGTGCCTACTGCTGAGCAGCACTGGCACAGCATCGGGCCTCTCTCTAACCCTCCTAGGGGGTGGGCAAAAAGTGAGAAGAGAAACATCACCAGGGCAGCTGACCTAAACCAACCAAAGGGATATTCCATACCATGTGATGTCACACTCAGCAATAAAAGGTGGAAACAGGAAGAAGATGGGAGGGGTGGGCTCTCATTGGGAAAACGTCGGTCCTCCACCTGAACACCGGCTACGTGCATTGAGGCCCTGCTTCAAGGACGTGGTCAATCATCACTCATTTGTGGGAAGTAGAGGGTAATTTCTTTCCTCTGCACTTCCACATAGCCTTCATTTATTTTATTTGTTTGTTTTCCTCCCTTATTTTTATTTTCCCTTTCCCCCTCCCTTTTCTCCTTTCCCTTTTTATTTCCATTTAGTTAAATTGTTTAGTTCATAATAATCTTTATTTAATTATTATTATTATTTGCCTTTACTTAAATTATCCTTATCTCAACCCGTGAGTTGTTCTTTGCTTTACTTCTCCCCCTCCTCATCTAAAAAGAGGGGGAGTGAGAGAGCGGTTGTGGGGTTTAGCTGCCCAGCACAGTAAAACCACCACACTCTTGCACAAATGCTTTCCTATGCTCATTCCTAAAATGTGGAACGATGATGAGGTCAAAAAAATTCAGTGTAGTTTTTCTTACACTATTGGCTGCTACTAGATGAACGCTGTGCCAACTCCACAGAGTGCTGCCTGTCCTCAAAGTCAGAGGACAGTTGCCAATACTAGGTTAAATCCTGGCATCATTCCTCTTTACTTCCCTGATTGAATATTGGGTGAGCTCCCCTGCACACAACGTAGCTCTTCGGTCATGTAGGACGGTGGAATTCAGCACCATGAACGTCACCACAACCTCTGTTTTTTGTGAGCACACCAACAGGAATTTGATTCAAAGGACGCAGCTCCATTAAACCCCAACACCTCTTCCTATCTCTTTTATGGATCTGTGTATGTACTCTGTTTGTGCTGTAGCTGCCATAAAGTAGTCTCCTTGATGGCATTCACTTTGTCCTTTTTGTCCCTTGTTGGACGTATGCTGACACCGTGACAGCTGGAAGGCCTGCCTGAGCTGGGAGTGAAGAGTAATGCTCTGTTTAGAGAGTGCAGAGTAGTGACTGGTTATCCATGTAGCTCAATTAACTTGCAAGCAATCAGCAGAATCAGCATTTCAGTATTTTTGTATGATGTGAATGCCAGATAAGGCAAGAAATAAAGGCTTGAGGGAGAACAGAAATTTGCTGTCTGATGCCTTCAAGAAGAAGCTGCAGGTCTGCCTACAAATTAAATGAGTCTTCACGAAGAGATCAGAAATGGTGTAAACCAGAAAACTCAAATAAGAAATCATATGAGCCCTTCTCAGCGAAAAGGAAAAAATCCTACGACCAAAGCTGCACTTTTAGGGAAAGAGATCATCTGAAATCAGGAAACAAGACAAATTCTGCTCTCAGTCACACGCACATAAACCTAATATTATCTCCACTGTGACAGCTTTCCTTCATTGTTACAAAGTGCAGAACAACTCCTGAAGAACTTCCCTCAATATACGAAGAGATGACGCAGGAGTCACAAGTCCAGCTGGAGAGCAGTACCAGTTCAGTGATCACTTCCTCAACAGCTTGTGTTCCCTTTCACAGAAATGTCTGAATTCAGCCTAGCTACCAGAATGGAAATCTAAAGAGAACAGATTTCTCTTGTACAGAACCTTTCTGTATAAGATAAAAGGAAAAAGAAAAAAACCCTCTCTTATAGTATTTGGGTATTTCCACCACTGTATTTGAAGGAGTCAGGAGAGGCACAGGTAATGAAAGAAAGAATACAGTCCCTGTGTGCACAGAAGGGAGGGAAGGCAAGGGACAAGTTAGCCAAAATTCAGGGAACCCCAAGCAAGTTGAGATGCAAGTTTTGCAGTAAACTCCTTTTGTTCTCATTCCTAACAAAATTCTGAACCTCCAGTTGTCCACTATTCCTCCAGCTAGAAACACAATGCCCTTCCTTGAAACCAGACTGGAACTATACCAATTTATACCAGCTAACTGTCTGGCAGATAATATGCAGTGTGTCTTATGGAAGATTTAAGAGGGTCTTACCCAAAGATACATGGGGAAGAAGGGAGTGGATGCAAAAGGGAATTAAATAACAGAGCAATCCTGTCTCAATAAATTCAGGAGAACAAGGGAGACAGCAGCTAGCAGGGCAACATTCACTGAAGAACCAAGAATCAAAGGCAGCAAGTAAACAACAACAACAACAAAACAGGAAAGAAAATCACTGGCCTGAGTGACAGTGAGGGGGGGAATCTGAAGTGCAACACCACACACTTGTGCTATGAAGGGGGAAGCTGTGGTGGAGCCTGTGCATTTGTGCATGGATGGGGAGGATCAGAAAAAGGGGTATGTGCTCGTGTCCACCAGGTAAGTGAAAGACATCGTGGGCTGTTACGGGGTGTGCAGTCTTGAAAAGAGCGTGGGAGAGCAGGGATGGGGAAGGGGAACAGGTGGAAGGGACAGGGCGGCGCGTTATTATGTTGCTCAGCAGGGGCTGGGGAAGGAGAAAAGGCAGTAGGGAAGGAAGTTCTTACCACATTTGGAAAGTCTGCCAGTCATCAACTCCATACAGTTAGTGGTGTCTGGATCATAGAACGGAAAGAGGAGGGAGGGAGGGAGAAACATAAAAAAAGGTTTCCATACCTCTGTGCATAAAGTAGTAACTTAGCACATTATTACCTGAAGCAGGAAACATTTACGCATCTTGGACTTCACACAACCCAGGCCAAATTCTGCCACCTGCTTTATGCCAGTGAAAACCTGGCCATGGAACTGGGAGTGGAGCTCGCCTGGTCCTGCTGCTTGCACCCACCTCTTTATCACAGCTAGGGGGATTTCAGAGATGTGGGAATCGTTCTGCTGTTAAATTAGCAATCTAAAAGCCTCGAAATACATTGCTCTCACTGGATATCTTTGCAAGTTATCCTGCAACACCCCGAAAATGTCCAGCCAGCTATGTACATCAAAAGTTTGTGAGAGGGAGAAAATACACCACTGTGTTACTGAATATGGGCTAAGGTGGTTACTTACACAGCTCAGAAACATCTTTATATCCCAATGTTCACATCCCTTACATAATTCTGCCCTTCTCATTCACGTGTAGTCTCTTATTCTTCTTGCTTTCAATGGCACTATTCACAGGCAATAGAATTACTCCTGGAAAGGGTGGCAGAATCTGGCCCAGTGATATTACTATCCACTTTGTGTATAGCTCCCCTTGCCACAGCCTCTGAGTGCTTACTAATTCAGGTGTGATAAGCAGAAGGAGCTTTACATGGGAGTTTTAATGTGGAGAGGACTAGTCCCACTGGTGTCTTCCCTGTGAAAGCTGCTGGCAAGCGAGATCTGCTGCTGTCAGCCAGGCTGCTGCGGCACCTGAGGCCTCAGCCCATGCTCCCTCTGGAGCCAGTGGGAAACATTTACAGCACTTGGTTCGGTCTCGGGTCTCCTCTTGCCTGGTCTCTCAGTGAGCACTCAGGTATTAAAGAAATAGGCCTCTTGGAAACATGCACACACATGCCCCAAATACCTGCCTGCCAGGATGCTCTAATTACTCCCTATCTGCTGAAAGTCTGCAGGAGAGAGGGCAGGACCATTTCTCAGCATGCCTCTTCACGGAAAAGTAATTTTCAAAGAGGAGGAAGGGATGCTGGATATGCCTGGGTATGCTAAACCCATGCTAGAAGAGCATGGCTGTGGTTTCTGATGCGGCCAGGCCTGTGCTGCACAGATCGCCTGGGAAAGCACAGAGTAGTGCTTGGTCCAGTGATGCTGGTCAAAGCATCCGAGGAGAAGTTACATGCTCTCCACCCCAAAGGTCAAAGGCAGGCTGACAGACCTGAATGGGAGATTAAACCCATGGGAGGTCTCTCAGAAAGGCACAAGACTGACAGAAAGAGGGGAAAAAGGAAGGAGGTGAAGGAGAAGAGAGGATTCAGGATTTGGAACAAGGTATCAGAGGTGTCAGAGGCCAGGAGTTCACCTGTCTTTGGCTATTCTGACTGTATGAAGGCAGACTAAGCTCCAAAAAAATACTTCTCCCCAGAGATGCCTAACAGGTTTAGGAAGTGCCTACAGGTGCTGATTGAGGCAATGTCAAGGAGTCACAACCATGAGTTCTTTCTTTCTTCTTTCATAACTTGGACAAGCCTGTTACCTGATGCCTTGTAGCTGCTCCTGTCCAACCCTTGTGAACCAACTACACCCAGCTGCAATAACTACAGATCTATGGTGGCAGAGCTCAGAGCAGTCACCCAGCCATCAGCATAACCTCTGCTTTGAAAGAGTGCAGAAGAACAGAGAAGAAGAGCAAGGAAAGTCTCAAATAGGACTGAAAGATTGTTTCTGACTCCCACTTCCATCACCTGGAATTCTTCTCTCAAGTGCATCCAGACTGACCACACAGTCACTGGCAGTCAAGAAACAAAAATGGTAGCACTTGGATAATGCCAGAATAGGTAAATATTATGGCTGGTTTACTAAGAGTCTCCTGAAATGAGTATTTCTCTTTCTTTGTGATTTTTTAACATAAATTAATGATGCCTTCTTAAGGTATTACCTCAGAATATTGTCTTTTTTTCAGTCATCTGCGGTCAGCATAGCTCTTTTAAGTATTTCATTTAAAGCTAATTGTGCAACTGCTCTACATACATTAATCCTGTGATCAGAATACAAACTGACAGATCCGCAACAGAAAAATAAAGGATTGTAGTGTAGGCTTTTTGATAATGTAACACCTTGGGATCTGTTCCTAAAATACTAATTTTGTAGGTTGTAGAATAGTTTTGGATGGATAGGAAAAAACACACAGACTCTTGAAATTTAAGACTGTGGAAAAATATCAAAGGAAAACTAATAAAACTTCACAGTTTTCTTTCTTAGAACATTTATGCACAACAAAAACTACAATTTGTGTTCTCTATAGTGCCATGGCTAGTCCCAAGACTTGCCCAGTAACTTATTTTTATTTCTAATGTCTTTCTAACACATGATCACGTATTTTTTTTCCCCATTCCTAAAGGACAGCTAAAATGAGCATGCCAGAAACAGTAGCTGATACCACATCTTTGAAGAGACTAACAGAGTTAATATGCCTTCAGCTTCTCTCTTATAATGATTACTTTAATACTTCCTTCATTTCCATCAACTTGTAACGTCTGCTTTAATAAATATTCTGTATGATAAAGTATTTTAAATTTTTAAAGGAGAATTTTCATTCTTATTAGAAAGCCGTAGATTATTGGCAGCAGGCTTCTGCTCACAGATAATAATCCATAACCCAGTGTCTGCAGGATCAAGGTGTTATGTGAGGTGAATAACACCAGGGTCCAAAAGCTAAATGCTCCCTGAGAAGTGCGGATGGGTCATGTAACTACATTTTTAATGTATGCTGTTTAATTTTTTAATTAAAGCAGAGTGGCAGCGCCAGAGCTCAATCCTTCTGATGATAAGGCAATTCCTTGTTTCAGAATTGCTGGCAGTCCCTCACGCTTCGGATTTGACCAAGACTCTTTCATAAATGACACCCAGTTCAGTTCATTAACAGATGACAAATGCTTTGGTTAAAATAGGCCCTTCCTGATTGGAACATGAAAAGGTCAAAACGAGTTCCGAATCCATTAAAAAATCCTAGTGTTCTGCTAAATTTTCTTTCCTGAATTTATTTATTTTTTCAGTAACTTGTTTTTCTATTCCTCATAAATATCACAATCAAACAGCCTGGTTTGAGATGCATCTGGTATCTCTGGGACTGTGACTTGTCCCAGTCCAGGAAATCTCACACAAACAACTGCTCTCTGGAGATCTCTAAATGCAGGGCTAGATCCCAGAAAAGCACTGAACGTCTCCTGTCAATTGCTGATAGTTCCCAGTAACCACTTACATTAAAGCAGATGATGCTAAGGGAGATACCACTTCCTCTGGTCCAAAGCAGTTACCTTTTGGGTTGGAATTCCCCAGTGTTTGGGTGCCTACTTGAAATGCACTGTTCTATAAACTGGAGTGCTTGGACTCTTTTTTACATGTTTTATTTCAGGACTACTCAGTTAACTTTAGTGAGGTCTGTTCAATAATAATACTAAAGTTGTTTATCAAAATGCAGCGTTCTAGCAATCCAACCAGGCATTACACTGTGCCTCTTATAGGTGGGAAGCATGACAGCAAGATGAAGTGATGCCCCAGACTCTACAAGAGTGGTTACAACATAAAGGATCCCACAGGAATGCGGGAGACAAGATAAAGCTGGGACCTGGACAAGCCCCAGATAAAACTGAATGGCAGTCCAGTTCCAAACTGACAGCTACATAGTCCCATTTCACGTCTGCAGATGGAAGCTGACCTGGCAAAAGCACTTCATTTGCTCCTTACTCCCTTTTTCTGTCTTTTGATAAAATCCTTTGCACACCTGGAAGCCATTTCTTACTAGTATTTTTTGTAGCTATTTAGCCAACCCACAGCTCTTGTGAGCCATAAAGATGAACACCTAGAATGCACAGATCAATACTCCAGCAAAGCCTTTTGAGTCACGTGAACAACTTTTTTCTTTTTGAGACATACACCAGCACAGTAAGAGAGATCAGGTGCATATACAGAAGACACATGCAATCAGAAAGAATTTGCACAGCCCTGTTTTGGAGCTGCATATGGTGCCTAAACAGCTGCTTATGCTGATGAAAGGCATTTTCAGCAGTAACACTGAGAAACTCTGAACTTCTGAGAAGCTGAGGGTTAAAATCTCACATGAAGCCAAGAAATATAATAAAACATCAGAAAACCTATTACAAAGAAGTTGTAACGGCTATTTCAGCACTGCTGATTGCCTAAAACACAGGAAAAAAAAAAAAGGTAGAAAAAAATGGGGATATGCAGTACCCCACACTTAAAACCAAAGCTTAAAAAGGCAAGAAAATATTAAGAAAATAAAAATTGATAACCCGTGTATGATCACGGATAGCTTTTGCATGTTCCCATTCACCAGCTGTTTCTATTACTTTTTTGTGCAATGGCACTGGAGGAAAACAGATTATAATTTAATGGAAAGGGTACTGGGCTGAAGCGAAGGCAAAAATATATGTGTTTTTTTTCCCCCTCAGGAGATCCCTTTATTCTACCAAAGGGCACCAGTGGATGAAGAGACAAGGCTAGCTGTTCCCGCAGACCTTGTTACTCATTCTTCATCCAAGAGAGACTGTCCTTTCAGGGCATCACCAGGCACAATGCATTTTGTGATACCAGTAACAAGAACACACAGGCGGCTACTCTGGCTCAGAAAAAAAGGCCAAAATCAAATCACCTAGAGCTCTTTCTCCAAAAGCAGCCACACGTGGACATGCAGGAGAGTAACAGCAAACCAAGCATATATAGAACACTTCCTCCTAGCACTGCCTCATTCTCTCATCACTTTTGGGTCAGGGCTTTCCTGAGTTTGCTGTGGTTTTATCCATTTAGTAGTTGCCATGAAGTTTCCTCTTCCAGGGAGTCATCCAGTCTCCCTAGGAGTAGAAAGTACTCAGGGGAACATGAGCACCTTTGTAAGCTTCAAAATCCGCTTCAGCAAGTTCTACACGTGTTACCCACTACATGAAGACAGACCTTTCGGTATTTGTTTGGTATTTGGCTTCCACTAGCTTCATTTGATGGCTTCTAGTTCTTGTACTGGAAGAAAAAATGAGCCATCACCACCTGTCTAATTGTTCTATACCAGTCATAAGTCCGTAGACTGGGTATTGTCTCAGCAGCTATACCACAGAGGATTTCATGTCCTGAAGCATCAAGGTAGAAAGCTGATATGTTGCACTAAATTTGGCCAACTGGACAGTGGCTTTTAAAAGTATTAGATTAGCTTTTGGGATGGATTGCATTTATTTACACGTTTTTTCCAGTAAGGGAAGGAAGCTGTCTTCCTGCTTCACAGGATGTCAGAAGAAATAAGCACAGACAGTCTTAGGAAGGGAAAATGGAAGTGAATGCAGGGATATCCATGTGGAAGAGAGATTATAGGGTACTCAAGTATTACATAGAAACACATCTGCCTAAATCAGGTATGTATGTGTACACACTCACATAACACACACACAGATGCATGGGCAACATGACATCTACAAACACTGTTGTGAGCTGGAGGAAATGAGAAAGAGAAAAGTACGTTCTGAAACCCAGGCAAGCTGGCTTAGTGGGCTGGCATGCTGCATAACGGATCAAAGAGGAGCCGGAGAGAGAATGACTGTCAGTGCCATATGCTTACTAGGCCTTTTGGTTCTCTTTTATATTGTATTCCCTGAATCTTGCCCTCCTGCAGGTCTCGCATTACAAGCATGCACCTTTCACAGGTGGCTTTCATCATCCCACCTGTAATGGCATCTGAACTATACGGCAGGGCAGACAACCACACAGAGGATACGTCTGTGCACAATGAGCTAGGAACATCTCCAGTGCTCTGGTAAGGGAACAAACAAGCCACCATTGCTGGTCAGAGCCAGCAATATCCTCAAAGCCATGGAGGAGGAGAGTCAAAGTGAACTGTAACCTCATTCTGTTGCGGCAGAGGACTGCCTACAGAGCCTGAACAGGAGTCCAGCCACCACAATTCCTGTGAGGTATTAAGGGTTGGGAACGTGGGAGAAGAAAGAAATGAAGAACTTGTCTTGTTTCTACATAAGAAACACTGAGTCAATTTCTAGGAAGCCCCTATGTAGACCTACCCAACCACAGCCAACCAGCTGAGCAAAGTGCTGAATGTGAACTCTTTGTGGTCTCTTTATCCATTTATTTCCACTTATTGTCTCACTTTGGATGAGGATGTGAACCATGGGACCCCCTGCTTTGAACCATGTTTTCTCTTCTGTGGTAACAATCTTCTCCCCGTACTTTCTCTCTTTTCCTTGTACTCTGCTCCAAACTAAGTTTTTCAGGTTGAATTACTTCTCTCTTTTTCAAACGACATGCCTCTTACTGATCAGGACAGGTGATAGACACAGGATAGTTTGGCACTGTGTCTCTTGTGAGCTGCCTCACTTGTTAACACTCCATGTGGAGTTTTCCCTTTCTCCCTGTCTTTAAAGATCAGGCTGGGTTTTCCCTGCTAGAAAGAAATGCTCTCATGTAGCTTTATGCAGTAGAAAAAGACTGCATCTGTAGTATGATTTCTCCACTCCAGAACCAGAGCAAAACTGTAAGTCACATACACTTCTTACAGCATGGTTTGCCCTGAGTAACTCCCTGAGCTACAGTCAGATGAGTGGTTTTTATTCTAATATGACTTTCTTATGGAGGTACCCTGCTTCATGTGCAAATGTGCAACAGGGTCTGTGTCTTTCTATATGGCCTCATTAGCTAGCACATGTTAAGGTGAAAAAGTTAAGAGAGATCATATTATTCACTTTTTTTTTTTTTTAAAAACATCTTTTCCCTTATCAGAGGGTAAGGGCACACTTCTTTCCCAAAGAGACAAGGGATGCTTGAACATTGTTCACGCAGCAGGGGTAATAGGAACTAGACTCAGAGGATGCTTTTCTCTTAGCTAATTGCCCTCACTCTCAATAGATCCAGCATTTCCCAAGAGCAAGGGCTGGCAGAAAATTCTGGCTGCTTTCTCGAGTTTGATTTTATTTCAGAAGTCCACAAAGCAAAAATCTGAATCAGATCTAATTCTAATATCCTCACCTTTCCTGTTTCCTAACAGAATAACCCATGTGCTGGGCATCCTTGCAATCCAGCGTGCAGAAGGTCAGACAGTGCTGGAGGGCAAAAGCAAAGTGGAAAATAATCTTTCCTGAGCTGAGCATACTTTTCTGTCACGTAGTGAGCACACACTCTTCTAGACAGACTTATTTTATCTTCAGCTGTTAAAGCCACACTGTTAGACCAGAAGGATGTAACCCATATGTGCAATGAGCCAAGGAGACCCAGGATTTAACTGCATGATGCTATGCTGACTTCATACTCCAATTTTGTCTCAGCTGGTTCACACTAAGGTAAAACATATAACTTGGCTCTTATGTATATTATTTACTACCTTTTCAGCATCATACAATGGGAAAAATCTTCCCATTCCTCCTGCCTCTTCTTCCTACAGCTTCCATTCTCTGCTTTGCCCCTATTTCTTCCCTGTATCTGTGCATTTCTGCTTCTCCCTGTTTTTCCTTCTTTGAAGCACTCCCAGTATCTAAGCTTCCTTAAGTTTTCTATTTTCACCTTCTTCCTTTGTTCTGTCCTCTTAAAGGACAGATTGTTGTCATTGATTTTTTTTTTAAGTGTCACCACTAGTGTTCAGAGTGAACATTTGCTACATAATGGTGGGATGAGGCGAGTTTCTATATTATCATCTCAGGCTGCCTGGAGATTCAGATTGATGTCATTGCAAAGGGCCACACTTGTAAAGCTTTCTTTACCGCCATGAGGAATTGCAACTTATTTTAAAAATCAATAACATAATCGCTTTTGCAGAACCTTAGTGTATGATTTGTGCTACCACAGTACTGGGCCAAAAATTTGACCACACTACTGGAAACTATTAGCCACTGTCTGACCATCTGAAAATGCTGCTCTTACAGATAGTTAAAAGTAGCTCTCAATTTTGTTCTGGGACCTCCGAAGTTGGAGGTGTCTAAGGCATACCTGAAGGCTTTGTACATCAGGTATTTTCTAGACTGTGTCCCTGTTCTGGGAACTTTTGGACCTTGAGAAAATCTGGAGTATCTGTTGATGATGCAGCTTTTGATGGAGAAGTGGGCAAATGGCTCTTTGGGCGGGAGGAGGGCAGAAGCTGTTCAACTAGGGAATGCGCTGGGAGCACTGGAGTGGGAATGAGAGAGGGAGGGTGCGGGGAGTAGGGTGGGTGCGGGGAGTTACTCCTCTGTCTGAATAGAGCTAGGTTCTTGCTGTGAACAGAGGGATGGCCTCCCTCAGCCTCCTGGTACTGAGAGGCACTTCACCTTCCTGTCCCTGCTGAAGCAAGGTGCCCAACAGTAGAAACTACTTACCTGATAACTGCTGCACTGAAGGCTGGTCATGTGTGCTTAACAACTGTGCCTGAATGGTTTCTACTACCCTCTTAAAACGACGGCTTGGACCTGTGAGGAGAGAAGAGGCATGCATGGCTGTGAGAGCAGCAGAAGCCAAATCCCCAAATAACACAGGTTGGAGGGAAAGGATCACAAACATTTTCCCTTCAGTCCTGTCCCCAAGAGTGTATGCCAGCATAGCTGTACTTCAGCTGAAGGCACAACTTTGAAGAACTATTATACAGTCTCCGCATGTTAACAGGGACTTTGCAATGCTACACTCAACAAGAAGAAGGATGCGTTCTGGGCTCCTTTTGTAAAGACAGGCAAGTGTTTTATTATTACTATTATTATTATTTTAATTTTTGTTATTTACTTTTTACCCCTGTGTGGAGCACAAGATGAGCCAGGAAAAAAGGGTGATTGCACATTTCTGTAAGAAAGGAATCAGTGGCATCATAGTGCCCAGGTGAGATACTGAGACCTTTGAGTGAAACAAGGAGGTACTTCAAACCTGATGCACAGAGCAGCTATTTTAGCAATAATTGTGGTGGTGACAACTTCACCTCTTTGGGAATCTCTTGCCCTCCCAAGCATGTCTATCACTACCAATGCCATTCTTGTTCCCAGTATCCTCCTTTTACCCACTGTATGGATCGTTCCCCTGGCAGACCTCTCTTTGCAGGCTTCCATATCAGCAAGGACAGAGACAACTTGCACCCATGTCAGAGCTTTGCCATGGTTACCTGATAAGAGTGTGAAAGTGACAGAATAAATCCCGTTCTCCTTCTGCGCCTCTCCCCCTTCTGTGTACGTTATGTCCACCTGGAACTTCACTGGCTTCTGGAAGACAGCAGGACCTCCTGTGGACTTGTATTCTGCACGGAAACTTGTCTGTGAGATGACACTGTGACTGAGGCTTGGAATCTGAAACAGGTTGGCAAAAGATAGTAGAACCAGTTCAAAAAGGGAACAATTGCAAAGTTCAGTTTACAGCAATACATATTTCCAGAATGTGTATGATTTGCTAGATTTGCTTCTGGACTTGAATTTGTAATATTCAGGGCATCCTTGTGAGATCAGTAAGAGTGTAGATTGCTTGGCACCACGCAAGAAGGCACTGTTCCTTAAAGGAATGACCTAAATTTAAAGGATAAATACTGATGGAATATCCAGCATGCTTATAAATTCCATGCTGCACAGCTTCATACACTGAGTCTTTCTTTTCCTGCTCATCTACCAGTTTTGAGAAATGCCTTTTGCTTTGGTGAGAAGTGATATTAAGGGAGGGACTAGAAAAGTCAGTGAGATATGACTAGATATAACAACAACCTGAGCAGCCTGGTCTGATCTCATAGCTGATCCTGTTTTGAGCAGGAAGTTGGACTATAGACTTCCTTAAGTAATTCCCAACCTCAGTTGTTTGGTGATTCTGTGCTGTCAAAGAAACATCGGGACAAGAAGCAGACACTTAGACAAGTTTCTGGCATATCCACAGGGACAGCATGCCTGCTATTAACTTACGCAAATCACAATTCCTATCAATATGTAAAATAATTTTGAGAAGCTTTCTGGTGTTATCCAATATCTGTATCATCACAGCTGTGGCAGAACTTCACAACTGCCTAATTTTCAAGCAGTCACGATTCACAGATCCTATTAGAATTTAACATACCCTCATATTCTATTTATTGTTTCACAAAAGACAAGATTTTCAAAAAATCCCCCAAACACTTGGAAATCTGACCTCTAATTTTGGAGAAAAAATCACAGATGAATTCTGAAGAAGAAGCTGACCTTACAGACTCACTTAGCAGGCTCTTACAATACATTTAATTTGAAGTTGGCTGAAAGAGGTGATTCACAGGGTTTGCACACAAATCACCGCATCATACCTCGCACCACACATGTAGGGTATGCACAAGATCACTAACTTAAGCAGTAATGTACACTATGCTATCCTAAACCCACAAGCATAGCTAAATACAGGGTAGAGTAACATAGCTGCTTCAAACCAATCTGAGATAGATAACAGTGTTTGATGGATGTTACTATACTGCACTCACTCCCTGTATGCATGTACTGTGTATGAACAGTTAAAAGGATTACAGCTGCTTTTTAAGAAATTCATTGTAGCATCATAGAGAATAAAAAGAAGAGCAATATTTTGTGGAAAATAACACCAATTCAACAAACAATAAAATAAATTAAACTGTCTTCTTTTAATACTATTTGAAAAAAAAATGTCATTATGCTTTAAAAACCCTTGAATTGAAAAATCTGTCAAATCAAGTTTACTCTGCCGACCTTTTTCTTCACTGGTACTTCTAAATGGTGAGAATAAGGAGGTTCTGTAGGAAAGAAAAAAAAAGGACATTTTCTCTGCTCACACAGCAGACTTTCTTAGATTGTAAATAAAGAGCATCTGTAACAACTGATACTCTCCTCACCAGAAGAAATTACCCTTCTATCTGCTGAAAAGCACAGAAGAGGAGATCTAAAGTAATGAATGCAGGTGTGAGACAGGCTTTTTGTCTGATTGAAGTGGTGGAGGGCATACACAGGGAGGCCCAATCTTTTGCACAGATGGTGACTGCAAGATAAGTGTGACAAAGCAGCAAATCAATGTCGTGATACTGCATTGCCAGTGTGCTCTAACTGCACTGATATTCCAAACACTGGTAACCTGGAGACCCCGGCAAGAAGGTTGAAAACTTCTCTCACCTTATAAGAGTACTTTCTATAGTTAGAAATTTAGACAGAGTACAGTGGAGGCCTGAATTAACATGATGCATAATTTAAATGCACAGAGGATGCATTTGAAGAAGCAGAGACCCTGCCCAGTAACATATGGCACAAGGAGGCCTTGGTCTCACCAATGAGCAATGCCTCCAACAGGCAGTTGGGCTGACTTACCGAGAGGAAAGCGTGGACAATATCAGCCTTAATGGAGCTTAGTGGTTTGTCCTTAATGACCACAAAAATCTGTTCTTCTTTCTCCAGGTTGATGAAGTTACCAAACCAGGATTTTTTGGCAAGCCTGATGTGATGAAAAGAAAGAGACGGTTTAGAATATTGAGTACTATTTCTTAGATTTCCCAGCTAGAAAAAAAACAACAAAAAAAACAACTGCAAAAGAAAGTATTGATAACACTCCAGATGTGATATTACAATAGGTGGCTCACAGAGTCAGAGAACATAACGCTCACTTAGTGAAAACTGTTAAAATAATGGTCCAGTCAGTGCAACTCTGGCAGCAGGTGTGACCAACAATCTAAAACCAGGAGTAACTCTTCTATAAAGTCAATATACCAATTAATACTCCACACATACAATTCATATAAATCTGGGGACATATTTCTGAAATGTCCCCAAGGATCTCTCCATTTTTTGGTGACAATATGTGGATGCTGTCAACATAGGGATTTAAGTTCCCTCCTGCCCAGTTTCAACACCTGTGGTGTTCTCAGACTTCAAAAGTTCCATTTCCAAAGGTGTCCTCTTGTACTGACAGTACAATCATATGATCTGGCTTTTTAAAGCAAACTAGAGGTTTCACTGGGCCTCCAACCTGTCAGAAAGTAAAATCTACTCCTACCCAGAGGGCCAGGACAAACACGGTCCCATTCATTAGTCCCATTCAAAATCTTTCTAAATGAGCAAACTCTGCAAAAGAAGGAATTTTCAGTACTAAGAGAGAAGATATCAGAACCACAGAAAACACAGCTCAGGCTTTTCACTGACAGCAATCCAACTCTACAGCTCCTTTCAGCATCAGATGTTGGTTTCATCATAAAATGAAACTGCCTTTTTCACACTGATCATATAAGCAAATGTTTGACTTTGCTTATTGTTTTACCATTGCAGTGCACTTTGTTGAAATTCACTTTCAAGTTAAACAGGCTAAAGTGAAAATAGGGCAGGTATGTTACTGAGAGAAACTACCCAGAGCTTGGAGGTAGCACCTCTGAAAGTTAATGTTTTGAGGGGAGAGAAGATGCTGTCAGCCATAATATGTGGGCAAAGAATTGCTGGACCAAGCTAAGTCCAGGAAAAATTCCAATGAAATCAGCCATGTTCTAGCAGAGACGAATTTAGCATGAATAAGTCAGAGATTAAAAGACCTGCCTTCAAAAGAGTGCAGTTTTTTTCCTCTAGAGGGTATTTTATAAAGCCAAGCAATAGGTTTCCACTTTTAGGGGACATTCACCACTCAACAGAAGAAGACAACCTACAGTTGAAGAAGAATGAGGAAGGGTAGAATGAGAAAGGGCAGAGATGAGAAGAGAAAGGAGTATGGAAACACCACAACTGGAGAACAGCTCGGTTGTGCACATTATCATTTGATGCCACCTATTATGGGCATCGGAAGGTAAGAGAACAAAAAGATTCACTTGCAATTTGGTAAACCACCATTCCCCACTCAATTAAAGTGGGCTGGAAAACTGTCACTCCCTAAAATATTCATAGGCAGCTGTAATTAAGCCAGTGAGCCAAAGATTAGCATAGGGAGCAGTAAAGAGAAAGGGCCTCTCATTTAAATGGGTCGTTAAGGAGCCAGGGTTAGAGTGTGAAAGGAAATTACATACTAATTAGCTCATGTGTCTCACACACACCATAACAACTCTGCAAGCCCCTGGAGAGCTGGGGCAATAGCTCCCTGCATGTAAAGGGTCTATGGTAATTAGTAAATTTGCACCTGGTTATCCATCTAAAATGTCTGGTTCTCTTAGGCTTGGATCTATCATACTCTGAACAGTGCTTGGCTACTGGGACTCCAGGGGCCCAGTGTATGTCACACATTCTCCTCGGAAGCTGGGCCTAGAAACAGTGTGAATATTTAACTGCAGATCTGCCATCTATTACTTTTTATATTTTTATTTTCATTAATGGTTTTATGGGAACTTCATTTATAGATCTCATAATACGGGTAGGTTAAAAGAGCCCCAGAACACAGGGAGGTTTTCTGCTGTTCAGTGTGGAAACTTGGCCTAGAGTCTACAGAGTCAAGGTGGGCTCTTTACTTTGGCAAGGTTATCCATACTAATACTGACTCTGATAGCCTGGGCTGTGCTCCAGATTGCAAATACCTGGAATTCAGGACATAATTTTGCTGGTGTTGCATGAGATTTCATAGATGAAATATTCTGTAAGCAGCTGTGAGAAGTCTCACAATCGCTAGCTCATGCTCTCATGGGGGACTTCAACTTACCAGATGTTTGCTGGAAATACAGCAGAGACAAAACAGTCTAGGAGGTTTCTGGAGTGTGTGGGAGATAGCTTCCTGAGAGCTGGTAAGTGAGCCAACTGAGTAAGGTGTCCTGCTGGACGTTTTCTTTGTGAACAGAGGACATGTGGGTGATGTGAAGGTTGGAGGCCACCTTCGGCACAGTGATCATGAATTAACAGGTTTTGATTATTGGAAAAGTAAGGAGAGGGGTTTGCTTCCAGAGAGCAGATTTGGTCTGTTTAGAAAACAGGTTGGCAGAGTCCCTTGAGAGACAGTCTTGAAGGGCAAAGGAATTCAGGAAGGCTGGACACGTTTCAAGAAGGAAATCCTGAAGACACAAGAGCATGCTGTCTCCATGTGTTAAAAGATGAACCAGTGGGGAAGAAGACCAGCCTGGATGACCAGACAGTTTTGGCTAGAGCTCACGAAAAAAAAAAAAAAAAAAAAAAAAAAAAAAAGAGTTTATGACCTGTGGGAGAAGAAGCAGGCCACTCAGGAAGCCTACAAAGATGTTGAGGCTGTGCACGGAGAAAATTAGAAGGGCCAAGGCCCAGCTTGATCTCAGTCTGGCTATCCATTAAGGATAATAAGAAATATTTTTGTAAATACATAAACAAGAAAAGGAAGACTAAGGAGAATCTTCACCCTTTATTGGATGTGGGAGGAAACATAGTGACAAGGGATGAAGAAAAGGCTGAGGTACTTAATGCCTTCTTTTCTTCAGTCTTTAGTAGTAAGACCAGATGTTCTCCGGGTACCCACCTTCCTGAGCTGGTAGGTAGGGACAGGGAGCAGAATGGAGCCCTCATAATCCAAGAGGAAATGATCAGTGACCTGCTACACTACTTAAATGTACACAAGTCTATGGGGCCTGATGGGATCCACCCGAGGGTACTGAGAGAGCTGGCAGAAGTGCTCACCGAGCCACTTTCCATCATTTATCAGCACTCCTGGCTAACAGAAGAGACCCAGGGAACTACAGGCCTGTCAGTCCGGCCTTGGTGCCAGGGAAGCTTGTGGAACAGATTATCTGGGGTGCCATCAGGTGACACTTACAGGACAACCACGTGATCGGGCCCAGTCAGCATGGGGTTACGAAAGGCAGGTCCTGCTTGACTAACCTTATCGCCTTCTATGACGAGGTGACACACTTAGTGGATGAGGGAAAGGCTGTGGATGTGGTCTAGCTAGATTTTATAAAAGCTTTTGACACTGCTTATCACAGCATTCTTCTGGAGAAACTGTCTGCTCATGGCTTGGATGGTTGTACACTTCTCTGAGTAAAAAAAATGGCTGGGTGGCTGGGCCCAACGAGTCGTAGTGAATGGAGTTAAATCCAGTCGGTGGCTGGTCACAAGTGGTGTCCCTGAGGGCTCAGTTATTGGGACTAGTTCTCTTTAATATCAGTTATCTGGACGAGGGGATGGAGTGCACCCTCATTAAGTTTGCAGACAGCACCAAGTTAGGCACAAATGTTGATCTGCTTGAGGGCAGGGGTGGTCTGCAGAGGGATCTGGATAGGCTGGACAAATGGGCTGAGGCCAACGGGGTGAGGTTCAACAAGGGCAAGTGCTGTGTCCTGCACATGGGGCCCAACAATCCCACGCAATGTTACAGACTGGGGGAACAGTGGCTGGAAAGCTGTCCAATGGGAAGGGACCTGGGGGGATTGGTCGACAGCTGGCTGAATACGAGCCAGCAGTGTGCTCAGGTGGCCAAGAAGGCCAACAGCATCATGGTTTGTATCAGAAACAGTGTGGCCAGCAGGACTCTGTGGGCCACTGTGCTTTGTCTTTCTCCAAACCCTAACCCTAGTCAGCATCCAGGACCAATACCTACCTCACTTAGGGCTCCCAGGAAATACTGCTCAAAACAGAAGGCTTTTTGTGTGTATCTACTTCTTTGGCAGCCCTTTCACAGCCCCAGTGTAGCCTTTACTTTATCTTCCTCCAAACCCTAATCCAAATCTTTTCTTCTTGAAATTGGCAGAACTAACTGTGCTTGTACACACAGGGCATAATTCCACTGAAGAAGATGCAATAGCTTCAGATTAAAATCACACAATTAAGGTTTCCCTCCTGACAGGGCTTGCTAAGTGCTACTAACTTGGAATAACACAAGTATGAATTGAACATCTTCAGCATCACCTTAGAAAATCACACTGTAAGCAGTGAAAAAAGTACTTCCAATTAAAAAGCTTTTCTTGTGATGAGAAGCCTCGTAAGGGGGAGGCAGGTAAGAGACATGGGAGGGAGGCTGGGTACATAGATTACTCTAGGGAATCTAACCAGTTGTCCAGTTGATGAAAAAAGCAAATAGATTAGCATGAAAATAGAGGCTACTGCTTTATTACTTCACACTGAATTTCTTACTGGTATAATGCTGTTCCATTATCTACTTTTGGAGTGTCTGACTGTTTCACCCTTGGAGAGCCTCACTATCCCTGGGTGCACGGATCTATAACCTCCAGAAGTTCACTTGCTTGGCATAAATAATAGCATTTCTTTTTCATGTGAGAAAGAATAATATTATCCAGACATGTCAAAGTTTATTACCTAAACATCAGGTTTGATAAATGAATGTCAGTCATTAAAGAATGCTGTACCACACCAAGGACATGCATTTTTATCACTCAACCCATGAGGTCAATAGAGCTCTTGATAAGGATATCTTATTTCTTACAGAAAGGAAGAAAATATCAGAAGGAAAAAAAAAAAAAAGATATGTTGAAGTGGGCACTGAGCAACAAGACACCTACCATTAAAATAAAATCTAGTTCATTATTTTTTATGACTTTTATTATGTTTACTGGAGGGTGCAGCCCAACTGAACTCATTAATTTGGCAATTATACGGAAAAAGAAAAAAGGGCCTTAGGCTTTGACTTGCATCCAAACTGCCTCAAATGACAGACACTACTTCTGTATACCAGCTTTTAAAGGGTGAGTGGGAAGTACGGAAGCCAGTAAATTCGCAGAAGAACATCTACCAACACAGAAGGAAGGGAAGGGACTTCATTTAGTGGCTTTTCTGCTTTAGCAGCCTTAAAAACAATTGAGATGAGAATATCACATATTTATTCTGTAAGGATATGTTTACTTTATGAAATTCTCTCATGCCCCTTGTTAGTAAATTCTCCAAAGTACTGAAAACACAATTTATTCCATTCTTCTTCCTGGATTTCTTTTACTAACCTTTGCTATTTCCTTACTTCTCCCTCTCCTTTTCCTTATTATCCCTCTCCATTCTACAGCATTAGAAATAGATCACCCATCAGATACATGCCAGGTCTGGGAAAAGTTCTTAAGGCAATACCATTATCACCAATTAGAAAACTTTAGGCCCACAATTTTCATCTATGACTCATGAATATTTCACGCAAGTATCTTGACAAAAGGCCAAATTGTCTTGGTTGGCAGGGAAAGTCGATGGGCATTGGGTGCACAAACACAAGCTGTGAAAATAAAAAGGAATAATTTGGCATCTGTTGCATGTATTAGGAAGTGTTTGGAGCAGCACTCTCTGGCAGGGACTTCCAAACCTGCCATGCAGTGACGCACATTTGTGCAGTGAAATGGTTGAAATGTACACTGACTTTAAGGAATGAGTCTGGTGAATATGAAACAGCTTCTGCACCTCCCAGTGTTGCTGCCCACAATTAATACTGCATTTACTATCCAAGCTTAAGACTCCTTGGAATCATCCTAGCAGAGGCTTCTGCATGTTATCTTGAGGATGCAAACTCTCATGTTCTAAGAAGACTTTTGATGGCATACTTAGTGCCATTGTAAGCCATTGACTATCCTCAAGAGTCATCTGCTTGAGAATCAAATGGAAGAAGAGAATGGGAAGATGTTCCAAGACTAGGAAACTCAGCATGCCATGACTAAATGAGCTGCTTACTGGGAGACTGTTTTATCACCCACTGACACCACTGCCATTACTGAAGTACAGATTTTATTCAGGGTCTTTAGCAGAGGGACCATTTGGCATCTGCATCCCACTTGTGAGATAACATATGACAGTCAGATACTGACTCAGAGCAGAAACAGTCACCCTATGACATTCAGGCAAGGAAATGACACTGGTAGGTGCTGGAAAAGAAGTAGCGTACTGGCAATTTACTTACTCTGGGGATGATTCCGGGGTTAAATTGGACATCTCCTCTGGTGTAGGTACTGCCCATGCATGCACAGCCAAAGAGAGGGAGGGAGAAAAGAAATTGAATCAGTACACCTTCCTTTTTCTGCTATTATAAAAATGAAAGACTGCTGACATTGTACCCTCTTTCATCTGCCCATTGACTGCAGATTAGTTCTGACATTTGAACATCGGTCATGTGTCCCTAGATCGCTGGTATATAAACAGGTGACGCATTTCAACCTACCCTTCCTTAAATCACTAGAAAATCTTGTGCTGGCTTCAATGGTTTCTGGTCCTGACCCAAACACTGTGCCAATCTGATTGCCTTACTACTTGTTTACTATTATTTCATGAGCCAATTCTCACACTTTATGTAATGGGCATTATCCAAAGTCTCTTTCAGTCACTGAAAATATCAGGAATCCCTGTGGAATTTTCTAACACAAAGTAGAAGTACAAGTGTGCCACACCAGGCCATTTGGATGCAGCTCAGTCACTGCTGCAACTCTCAGCAGTTCTCTGGCCAACTCTGAGACAATGTCCCTGACCATCACAGTCCAAAACCTAACTCTTCCACAGCTGTAATCCTCCTTTCTGAGAGGATCCTGTAAAAGCACAGGGCATTGGGATAGCTGCTGCTGCTATCTGAGGATAATACATATGGCTTCCGGTGCTCTTTGCCTGAATATGAAAAGCCACCTGGAGCTCGAAGAAGACAATTTTGCACATCTCAACACTCTAGAGACACTGAAAAGTGAAATAGGCCAGCAGAAATGAAAACACTGTTTTTGTATTAGGGCAAATGTTACACCAATTATCAAAGGAGGTATAAAAAGCACTAACTAACATCAAAGAAGCTGCACCTCAGAAGGACAATTTCAGCCTGTTGCCACTGGCCATCTTTTTGCAGCATAAGGCTCAGCCTGTGGCTGCAGAGAGGCAGCAGAGTACAGCCATAGGGGAAATATCAGAGCTCTAGGTTTGCTGGCAAAATAAGTGGTGAGCTGAAGATAAAATTTTCTTGTGTCCTAAGAACCAAGACAGGGATAGTAAGATCTGTACTGCTAGAGTGTGAAGAGGGCTCAGGAGATGCTGTTGGAGCAGGTGCAGTGGATTTACAGAGCCTGCTGACATACGCCTTGGGCAAGGGCGGCCTGACACTACCGCTCTCGATACCAATATTCAGTCCTTGCTACATTAAACTTGCAGAGCCACAGAGAGGCATCAAATTGCTGCTGAATGGCTGCCCAAACCAGAACCACCCCGGTACATTTGGGCAGAGTACTCACCTTGCAATTTCCGGCGATGGAAGCGAGGAGACCCCAGGAAACTATTCTTGATTGAGTTGAGTCGTGTCCTCCATGGCATTCCTCCAATGCTGGGGCTGGATGGTGGTGTTGGGTTGGGTGTGCCTGCTGGGCTCTCCTTTGGCGTATGGACAGGTGTCCCCTTGGGGGTAGGGAGGGGACTTCCCCTTGGAGAGGGGTGAGGGGTGACCTGTATGATGGGGATAGATTTGGTGCTTGGGTCAGTACTAGAAGGGAGTAACCTAACAGGAGACATAGGGTTGGTCTGCAATTTAGGAACAGCCAGCTGCGGGTTAAAGCCGGCAGCAGGCGTGCGACCCTGAGCATTCTGCACAGGGGTGTTCTGGGAAGAGGGGGTGCTGGCATTGCTGGAAGGGAGTGGGTTGGATTTAGTTGACTGGAGTGGTTTTTCGGCCAATTTGCTCTTGGATGGCAAAGTCTGCGTCTTTGGGTTGGGCTGAAGTGCTGGCTTTGGTTGGAGTACATGTCCAGGCCTGGAGGCGTTCCTACAAGCATCAGGGTCCAAGGAGACTTGGGGTCGGGGAGAGAAAGGGAGGTCGGAGGTCTGAGGGGGGATGAAGAACTTTCTGATAGGCTACGAGACAGACGCAGAGTGTCCATGCACATCAAAAACAGTGAAATACGCATAGAGCGGGCGAGCAGAGAAAGGAAAGTCAGAAAAAAATCCATCCGAGTCACAAAGATGCATCATGTCACAAGGAGACACAAGAGATGGAGGTGAAGGGGTAGTGGGGGGGAGGGATTTTGCAAAGAAACAAAAACGAACAAACAAACAAAAAAACAAAAAAAAAAAAGACATGCAGTTAGCTGGGAACACAGCATAATCAACAACAGCAGCAGCGGCAGCAGCAAGAACAACAGTGTCATAACAGGCTTCATCTTATTAACCAACCACGTGTCAGCAAAGGAAAACAATGGAAAGAAAAGTAAAACAAAGGAAAAGTAAAATAAATAAATAATAATAATAATGAAAGAAATTAACCAAGAAAAAAAAAAAAGAAGAGAGAAATGCCATCTCTCTGGGATTGTTCTGATTGCCCTGCAGTGAGAGAAGCACAATGCCGTAGGGAGGTGAGGAAAGGGAAGAAGAACCACTCAAGCCACAGACAAATTGAGATGTGCCAAGAATGGGACCGCCTCTTTCAGCTCAAAGTGCCCACGTGCAAACCCAGTGGAGAGATGAAACTCAAAACAGGTGTGTGATACACACGGAGTGGTAGGCGATAAACACAGGTTACTGCACACACAGGTCAGAACCTCTGTCCCTCCTCTTTACCCCTGACTCTGGCTTAATGCACACATCAGATGTAGCCACCCTTACAGAAAGAGGAGGGAAAGGGAGAGCGATGCCCTGTTGGCATCCACCCTCCTCCCCTGGATGGTTAAACTGCTCAGCGTCTGCTCAGGGACTTCAGAGAATGCAACACCCAGAGGAAAACACGACCTCAGGTTGGTGTTTAATTTGTGAACAGCTATAGCAAGAATTTCAGAGACGGCTGGAAAATTAATTTATCTGGGAAGAGATGGTATTTCCCATCAGACTTTATGCTTCTCCTGCAACATCCCTCGTGCCATCGGAGGACAGCTCAGTAATCAGGATTTTTGTCATAAAGTCACAGCAATATTTGATGTTAAGTCCCAATTCTGTGAAGGGGTATGGGGAACCACTGTTTGTAAGATATAGTTTAAAACAGAAAAAGACAATCGCAGTTCATAATCCACCAGTGAGTTATCAAAAATGGGATTATGAATGCTTTTTTCCCCAAATAATAACATTTATACATGTTACAAGTGTTTTGGGAAAACCATTCCTGTAGAGTCAGCAAACAGCAATACACAGACTTGGGAGGACAGAAGCCTTTTTGAAGGATAGTGGGAAGTAAAAGTCACTTTGAAAACAAAAAGAATGTCCTTAAAAATATTGCTGTAAACATCTTAGATTACAAATACTAGCAGAGTTGTAATAACAGATTACTGCTCCAGCTCTTTAGCTTTGGTCTGCATTCACATTCTGATTTTTATAAATTATTAACTATTATAAATTATTTATCACCTTTTATTATTATTACCCATTCTGAATGGATAGAAGTTCTAGCTAGGCACTGTCCAGACATGCCGTGTAAAGGTAACCTTGCCTCAATTGTCAGGTAAGCAAACTCACTAGTAAGTTTACTTTCTGGGTTTAATGGATTAACATAATGCTACCATATTTAGAAAATGCAGAGATGTATTTAAAGCGATGTTTAAAATGGTTTGCATTAAAGTTTCCTAATGACTTTAAAGAGCTTAGGGTTTGGTCACTTAAAAGAGAATCACTAAATCAAAATATTTTTATTATTATTAGAATTGTAAAGATAAAACCAAGCCTCCCATTTTGGTCAGTTCTGATTACCAATGAGAAAGGAAGGGGAAAAGATAAGGGAAGTGGTTAATTTAGGGAAGTCGCTATCAGCATCTGAATATTAACCATTTGCAAATGACTCCAGCAGATATACGTCAAAGACTGTTGATCGCAAATGTTTCCTTGCAATTTTTATATCATATGAGTATGATGGTTTGAGAAACAAATTTGAAAGATACAAAGTCGAATTAATCTCCAACTTAATTCATTATGAATCTCTAGGGCGTCCTTAATTACCACATTTCTAGTAACATAACAAAGAACAAGATTAGGTCTGTCTTTCAGCTGGTGCAATGGGGAACTCCGTTAGCAAGTTCTTCTGAGATTTAACAACTCTTAGTTGCTGTTGAATTCAATTGCTCATAGAACTTCACTTAAGCAGTGCAGACAGCCAAATGTGTATTTGCTTTTTAAAGTATATTCTCTTTCAATAATCTAAGGTGCTATTTGAAGCATAGGTACGGACTTAAAAAGAAATAAATGATTTTTATTCCAGCATTACCTTTTAAGCTACAAACGTGACTTGTCTTAAAATGGTTATGATCTGTTGAAAATGCCATCTGGCTGCTAAATCCCTTTGAAGACTATTTAATCAACTGCCTATTAAGTAGTAATGTTAAGATACAGAAACTATGGAACAGATCTTGTCATCTTTATTCTTTGAGGTAGACCTACTGAGATGTCAGAAACTGATCCCAAGAGATCAATTAATGAGATCAAGTCTAAGGTTCACAGCTCTGGATGCTTATTTTGTGCACAAAACTGGTTTTGTTTGTTTTCAGTACATTCTGCAGAGGCATGAGAGTTCTCAAACATCTGCTTCATTCCACTGCCATCCAGGAGACCCCAGTGCAGAAACAAGGAAGGAAAGGAAATGGATCTTCACTGGTTCCTGGCATGTTAAAGGCACAGGGGGAACTGCAAACATATTTAGCTAGTTGCAAAATAGAGTAGCAATTGATAGGAACCCAGAATGTTTCAGAAAAAAAGTTCAGTCAAGTAAGGAGTTGGAAGCCTTATTAGCCTGTAAACTTACACTTGACTGTGTATTCATGTGAAAGAATTACATGCATTATTGGGGAATTACCATTTAAAATATTTGGAATACCAATGGTATCTTCATATAGATAAGAGAAGATCCATAGGTATATCCATACCCTAACACATAAAATATATCTGTGTCCAATGGGGGATGGCACCTTCTCAGGAATTCCTGAAAAGTATGTGGAAAGCTCTGGGTCAGACATTGAGGTACCATGGATTGTGATAGCCCTATAGACTTTATGGTAAGCTCCAGCCTTTTTGCTAGGACTGAAGTCCTGAAGTGACTAAGTCAGCCTTGCCAGACACTAAGAATTCTGAAGAAGTTATCAAGGTAGAGGCAGGCCTCTGTCACTGCACTTAGTAACAAATACCTTTGCAACAGATATACTATCAACTATGTTTGATCAGCTGAGTATCAGTATCTGGTTGACTCCAATTGAATAAGGGCCTGTGGACATACCTCATTTATAGCGTTTGAGGGTTCTGATCTTAATTAGTCAACTTCTCACTTTCCCTTTAAATTTGCTGTTCCTCAAATCCATAAAACTTATTTTGTCTTACTTTCTAATCCAAGTTACTCTGGAAAACTGAATGGAGTTGATTGTAGCCAGCATGGCTTACTGCTCTACTGTGACTTGATTGAAAGTGGCTGTGAAACAATTCCTGATATATGGTCTGAAACCATGCCGTCTACAGACTTCAGCTGGATATGGCAGTGTTTAGTCATAGCAATGTTATTCAATGCGCTTATGAGATTGAAAAAGGACAGGGGCACAGTGAGATCCCTGAAGTACCTCTAGCAGTGCAGGGAAGACGTGTGATAAATTATCTGCTTGGATTTGTAAATAACATTTCCCTCAACACCCATGAAAATTTACAAGCTGCCAAGGAAAAACAAAACATCCCAGCTAAGAGCCACAGCTCTGCAGCAACAGATGTCGAAAAGCATCAAGCATGTGTGAGTGAATTGGACCAACAGATCTTGAAGCAGCACCACTTACCCTTGGACTGCTGAGAGGACTGGTGGAGAGGCCAGATGATGCTCCGCTGATTGACCGAGACCTGAATGGACACAATAAGGAAAAAGGCCCTCAGAAAACTTAGACAAGTAATAACCCTGAACACCAGCCACCGCAGGCACAGGCATGAAGTGAGGAGAAGGAGGGAGGTTGTCACTGGAAAAGCACATGACTCTTTCCTCTCACTACTGTCGCATTTTGCAGTTGTCCCGCCCTCAAAGCAAAACTCTCCGAAATGCTGCTTGTTCAAGGAGGATACTGTAATCCCTTTTCAGTGAGGGAGTTGCTACCTTCTTGGCCTTCAAGCACATGGGAACTACCACGTCTGACCTGTGCAAGCTGAACTGCTGAATCTAAAAAGGACTGTGAAGATTCATGCTGGTGCTGAGGATTCTCTTCTGCGCAGTGCTGGTGGACACAGCATGAGATGTTCTCTGTCACAAGCAACACAGAAAGCCACTGTGTGTATAAGGCACAAGGGTGGGGGATCACGATCATTTCCTGTGCAATAACTTCCTACTGAACTCAAAGCTCACATTGGCCTTTCCAACTTCTCACTGCTGGACTTCACAGCTCTGCTCTCCACTAAGATCTCCTGGTGTTGCATTAAACAAGCCAGGTCTTCTCTGTGGATAACTAGTTCTGCTGTTGTTGATGACTACACTAATAACAGGATAACAGTCCAGGTGCCCTCAAAAAGAGGCCAGTTAACAAAGAATAAACTTGCTGACAAGGTCACCTGTACTGTAATGCTCTTATGCTCTCCCACGAAGGCCACCTATGAAAAATGTCAGCTGTGGACAACAAAACATATGAATGTGCTATGCTGAACATGCTGAAAGGGCACAAGCCAAATGCACAAACATTTCAGCAGAACAACTTTCCAGGAGGTGGGCTGCCCATTACAAAAAAAAGCACCCTCTGATTGACTGTAAATGAGTGAGCCCCAGAGGCAGCTGCTTTCTGTCCTTTTTAAATAGCAAGACAATTGTCAGGAAGACTGAAATATCTTACAGGAGAGGACTTGGCTAAGAACCTAGCTGGCCAACCATCACTATGAAATATGTCAATTCAGCAAAACTACCAATGTTTCATCTATACTAAGAGCAGTGAAAGCAATTACGTGCCTTCAGGTAACAAGTATAACCAGTTGAAATCCTGTAGATGCTTGGAAAACACAGTGCATGTGTGGATGTGTATTCATGTGTGTCTGTGCATGTGTGTACACATACATATATTTATAATGGACACAGGTCAGACTATCAATTTATACATGACAAGATATAAATAAATTTAGACCATGAACTGCCTCTATTTACTAAACTTTTAAACCTGTTAATAGAATAATAAAACAATTTTTAAAAAGTTTCTAAAATGTTCTCCCTCCTAAGTAAATTTGAGTAGCAGCATTATTAAAAAGTAAGTAAAACTGCATAAGAGGAGACATTTCCAAGGAAACAGTAAGTAAAACTGAACACAATGGTAGGTCCTATTCTCTCTGTATCCTCTGGAGAAACCATATACTGATGGCTTTTCTTCTATCTTATTTCAGTTTGTCCGTCACAGTTAAGTAAAACCCAGAAGACTTGGCATGCCTTTTTGCCAGATGAAGTCTAAATTTGTGCCATGAAAATCTGGGGCACTCATTCTATGCAGAAACTCCCCCCATGTACCCTGCTGCTGTCTGCCCATCACAGTACAGCAGACAAATACTACAAGCTCAGTCTTGGCATTCTTTTGCACTTGATTAAATCTGAATTTGCACCATCATCATCTGGGGCAGTGATAAAGATTTAAGGAAAGTAACTTTCAGGGGAGAACTGTCTGTTGCACTTTTGAGAGGCTATTTTATGTGCCTCTCCCATAACTGAGGTAGCTGAGTGCAATGCAAGTGTGTCGTGTATATAAGAACTCCATTTAGTTTAAATCTTCCTTGTATGAGTCATCAGGAAAAGCTTCTTCCAAAACATAAGTTACAAGAGGATCCTAAAAATTACCTTGCACAAGATTTGGGAAGTATATAGGTGCCCGGAGATGCAGTAAAATACCTATTTAGGCATTTAAGTTCCTCTAGGAGATGTTCCCACCAACACTTAATTATGGTGGGAAGGTCCTCTCTGACACTCACCTGAAATCCAGGATACTTGATTAAAAGTTCCAATCTGCTATTTTCTCTTTGCAATCAGATGAGTTTCCAACAGTCCTGAATTCTCCCCTCCCAGCCCCACTGCCTCCTATTTTTTTTTTTTTTTTACAAAAACGATCACACACATGGAGGGTAAAACAAGGCAGCCGCCCCTCCCAGCACCCAGTTCCTTATTGGAAACAATATTTGAAAAAGAGTTGCTGTGTACTGTGTTTTCATCCAGCCTAGGAGCCTGAGGTAGGGGACAGAAGAGAGAGTTAGTGTGAAATCCTCCTGGAAATGCATTCAGTATCCACATGATTGCTATCGAACAAGCTTTATTTCTGTTGCTGATTTACATGCAAAATACGTAAGAAGTAGGTCTCATAGCAAATCTTAGTTTGTCCACACTGGAAATTGTATAGAGGAGCAGCGGAAAGAGTTTAAAGAATCACGGGTTAATTTTAAGTGGGTGAAAAGAGAGTTGTACATTTTCAAAACTTTTCCCCTTTATGAGAGCATGCTGGTATGGAATATGACAGCCAGACTGAGGAGTTCTTCCCTGCATCTTCTTCAATTTCATAAATCCCCCAGAATTTACCTTTATAAACGTGACACACTTTCCAATCTGGCTATAAAAACTCTGAACAGTAGCAGGTTCTATACTCCAGTACAAAAATGCTAACAAGCAAAAATGAGAGATTTTTCCTCCCAATAAGATCATCTTAGCTGGAAATGCTGGAATTGATTTTCAGAGAAAAAAAAATAATAAAAAAAAACCAAACACATGCACTGCTCCTGTATCTCAGAGTCAGGTGGACAGAACTGGGACAGGGCCAAAAGACAGTAATGAACAATGTAGTGTTATGCTGAAATGTTGTGATGAAAGAACAGAGAGAATTCACATCTGTATCCCTCTCACCAGAAAATGAAAGTTCGAAGCCCTACAGGCAGCACATTAGCATGGCAGACCCTGGATGATCTTACGTGTGGAAAAAGGAGAAAAATATGAAATCATCTTACATTTAAGGCTATGAACAGAGTTTATTTAGTGGGAAATATCTATTAGTGAATAACCTCCAAGGAGTCTCTATAGGCATTAAATGTCATTGGAAGTATTAAATCTGTAATTATTCCAGTAACTTAATACTACATGCAACAAACTAGGTAACTATGAGTGTTGTGTGTGACTCAGTTTGCTCTGCATTTTGCTTTGCTGTATGCTTGGGCATTAACCCAATGGAAGACACCAAAAAAAAAAAAGATGAAAAAACAAGCAGAAAAGTTAATGCAGTTGCTCAGAGAAAGAGCATTCCCTCAAATACAATTGCCAGATTTAGGGATGTAGGAAGAGACTCAAGTCCCATTCAAGGTGATATAATTGCTTTGCCAAGCATGGAGGGAAAAAAAAAATAAATCAGTCTTTAGGGATCTAGTCCCAAGTTCTAGGAAGGAGAAGCTGTAAAGGGGGCTCTAAGCATAAGGTGGGCACTGAAATCATTGCAGGCTATTCCTCCCACCTCAAAGACTCAAACAATAAGCAGGAGACATCTGAGCTATGAAAGAGAGAGGCCAAGCACTGAAAACAAATGTGCACGTGCAGGCTGCAGTTTGTATATTTTATGACTTTATTCCTTAATCACTGTATTTGATAATTCAGTTAAAAGGTCCTTTGTTTTAAAGTGAGTTTTTACTCATTTTAGTCAGCTGCTGCCAAAGGGGAAGCCATGCAAGGCTCAATTTGTGTTAGACCAGTTGATCTCTTACTGGTGAAACTGAGGAGCTGGAATGGTTTGTAGACGGTTTAGGAGAAGTGCTGAGTTTCTTATGGGCTATAAGAGGTGAAGGGCCGAAGCCTGACACTGCTGAGGTGTAGGCAGAGAGAGACACATGAAAGGAAAGAGCAGCTGACCTGGGAACTGTAGTACACATATTGCACACACAGAGCACTTCTATATGGCCCTTCATCCAGATAAATTTTCAAGTGCTTTAAACAGTGCATCAGCTACTACACACCAGTATGATATGACTTGCAGTCAGCATTAAACATTTGGGTCAGATTTGGCATTTGTTTCCTCTTTGAATAAGCATCTCACAGAAAATTTTCCTACAGTCAGAGGAGAGTTTGGTACCTTGCTTCAGTCCCAGCAGAACTTGCTTTCATAGCACAGCTTTACTAGGATGCTGAATAAAGCCTTTTAGCTGGTCAAGCGGGAGCCATGCTTTCAAGAAGGGGAGCCTGCGGCATGCATGCAGCGTGCAAAAATGCATCTGACTTGTGTCCCTGGGTGAAATGCCTTACAAATTTTGAATTGGTTTGATTCTGTGGGTAGTTTTGAAAGGCAGAGCCAAAATACCCAGCCAATTTTTGTTTGCTGAAAGCATAAATTGGGTGGCATTTGATACTCCTCTTTGCTTGCTCACTCAAGTAAAAATAAAAAATCATAAACTATAGTTCAGGGTATGAAACCGTTGCTGAATTAGTAAGCAATGGTGAGCATTCAGGCACTGTGTATTACAGAGTTTCATTGCCTTTGCTCTCCAGTGTCCAAAAGATAAAACTTGTGCTTCCTTGCTCCCTGAAGTTGATCTAGGGAGTAAGAATAGACTCCCTCTAATGCTACTCTGTTTCACAGTCCTAACTGTGCAAATAATACCAACCTTAACATCTCTTACTGGGAATACTTATGTCTAAGTCAGAAGGTCTACTCGAGGTAATAACCATTTGGAAGATGAAGCTTTTACAAAAAGCACATGGAAAGGACTGTGGGTGTTGATAACACACCTCTTCTTCCTTCCAGTGCACACAGAAGGTGATGTTAAACAGCACCACCTCCCTTAATTGGCCAATTATACTGAACTATAACCATTTATAAATGGCTAAAAAAGAATTAACAAATAGTAAAGCATGTTACAAACATGAGAAGTAAATGTTACTGGTGCTCTGTAGCCTTCTCAGTTTGTACCTTCTCGTAAGCTTTTACTGTAGTCTAGTGATCTATTATAATATTTTTATTAAATCATTTATTAATAAATATTATCCTTCTGTTAAGTATTTGTAAATGGAACCTTAATTCGAAGTGTGACTGCATTCTTAATTGTACCTATATCCTCTTTATTGAAAATAAAGAGCTTTGAAGATATAACAGTCTCTAGAGCCATCTGTTCACCTCTTACAAAAACCTACACTAAAAGGAGAGGAAATACCCAGCATTTTTTTAGTAACTCAGATGGGACTCAGCTTCATCTTTAAAAAAAAAAAAAAAAGAAAAAAAGGATAAATTAGGATCAAAATTAACTGGAAGGTACCAAACAGATACAAAAAGAGCTAAATGGAGAAGGGGAGTTCATTCTCAGGTATTCTGGTACCTGCACAGTGTCTGAGATTAGTTCTGTGTGCCCACAGACATTGAAACAGACAGACAGAGAACAAAAAAGAACCCCAAATTAAATTATATGGAGTGTAACTCCAACATAAAAGCACACAAACAGGCACAAAAGCACCAAAAATGCTTCTTCCCACATCTCTCTGCCTCTCCCTGCTGTAAAGCCTCATTCCCTGACGTATATCCACCTGGATTGTATTTGTAAAATGCAAACGAAAAGTTTCTCTACAAGATACAACAGGTCCCGCAACAGGAATAATCCAAAACCAGAGCTTACCCCAATGGATCAGCACTCGCCATCCTCGGAAAGGGAAAATGAAGAGAGAGGGAAGAGAGAAAGAAAAAGAGAGAGAGAGAGGGATGTGGAGGCAGGTAGAGAAAAGAGTAGGAAAAGCAGAGTGAAATACTGTTCGGAGAACTGCATGGTCATAATTATTGCCACAGGTACCTATGTCTTCAGAGACCAGGAACACTAGGGGGACAGTTTCATTTACTAGAAAGTAACTTTTGTCCTGCTCACAATATTGCAGACACGTCCAACTTTGGCACTGGGGAATATGGAGAGGGACATACGAAGGCTGTAAAAAAAAATTCCCAGCCAAATCCCAATGAGAGCAGTCAGCAGAGCAATGGGGTTCAGACTTCATGCTGCATTTCTTTTCTGACTTTGACATAAAGCACAGTCATACCAGACTGTTATAAAGGAAATTGTTCTTTTTGTCCCCATTTTGCTCAGTGTAGTGTCCCTCTGTCCCCCAAGCTGGCCTGGTAAGAAGTATTTTTTTTGCCATGAATGAACTGTGAAACATATTGGTTATTAAAGCATGCATTTCTGAGCCAGCTTGGGAGCCCAGGGTACAAGATTGTAGCTCAAGCTGTGAATCTGCTTTGATACTGGCTTATTAGTCATGATGGTCTTATAGTCAGGAATTCAGATCAGCTAGAACACACCAGCTCAGCAACCCGGCACTTATCTCTGTGGATGCCATCTTGTGCTCCAGGATCTCATTTTTCATTTAAAATAAATTCAGTCTCTGGGTCTTAAAGGTTGCAAGGAAAATCTTTCAAATGTGAATGCAGAATAAATCAATGCTGTGCTGAAAAGAGTCTGAAACGGCAGCTCTAAAAGCAGAATGAATCTCTGACATGTTGACTTTGATGCCTATGGACAATCAAAAACTTCAATATTCTTTATTTTTTGATGGTAATCAAAGCACTCATGGTGGAAAAGAATAGTCAGGATATTGAGTTTTTAGGGGTGCAAGTAAGCAAACTCAGGAAAGTGTCACCACTTTTTCACATTAACAAAGATTAGATTAAGAATAAAAAAAAAAATTGGGTGTGTTATTAAGTAAAATTATTTTAAAGTCGGATGCCCTGCTTTTTTTCCTCCCTATCTCTTTCTCTCTCTCTCTCTTTCTCTCCATTTTCAATAACAGGCTCCCAAGCTGCCAGAGTTACCTCTGGCTGGGTGAAGAAAATCCATTCTTCACAAGACGGTCACCAACAGAAATGCTAAATTTAATATATGCCCAGTAGATTTCACAGTTTCCTGCTCAGTGCAACTAGCCATGCTTCCAGATACAAGAACATTGCAGATGCTGGGCTGGGCAACACAAGGCAGTTGTGAGAAAAGTTAAAATTAAAACATAGTTAGAATAGAAAGAAAAAGCTGTTGAGCTACACATTGATAGAGAAGTGGAAAGAAGCATTATAGTAAATTCTTTTTCGTGTGTTTGAGTGACACTCCATTTGTGATTTGGCCTGGAGTGCAAATTTGGCGAAGATCTAATTCATATATATATATACAAATACATATACATTGTATATATTTAGGGACAAATGTTGTCCTCAACTGTTGCAGTACAAATCTACCTACATTGATGTAACTGAGAAGAGCAAATTGACACCCATTGTATATTGGAACATGTATGTAAAATTATACAGCAAATACACCCATAATCACACATGCAGAATATTAAAATGTAAATAGAATGGGTGCAAGAAAGTTGATTCATTTTTCTTTCAAGTCATTTTCCCAACAGGGAAGGCACTTAAGAGGTTAACAAAGAGAATGGAAAGCAAATTGACAATAGGGAAAAGGAAGAGGCAAATGAGGTTTAAAAAAAATGAACAATCCCAGGACACAATAGACCCAGAAGCGCAGACATGTGCATTCCCTACAATACTGAAGCAAGTGAACTACGGAGCTGCAGCAACCCAGATACAGAAGAAGAGAAGCACTGAAAGAGGGGGTGAAAGAGAAAGTCAGAAAGAAAGAAAAAGAAAAAGAAAGGGACAGTGGCCTCAGCTACTAAGACAACCATGTGCATCTAGAGGGAAGGGACCCTTAAAGATGCAGTATTCCTTTAAAAAAAGACATCATAAAGTTGAATAATTAAACACTGGACAAAAATTTCATGGGCCACCATGATTAGCTGGCCCCATTTTGCTGGGTTTCTCTCACTGCCTATCCCTTCCTTTCATGTGGCTGTGCACAGCTCCAGAATTTGGTTCCTTTCATTTTCCTACCACCGAGGTCCTTCATCCTAACTCTTAAAAGTGGGAGAGAGGTGAGAGAACAGTGCATGTGATCCTTCAAAAATCAGCTTGGCCTTCCAGTGAGGGGGACCCTGGCTGATCCTTGTGCACTACCCTAACCTTCTCCTCCTGTACTCTGAAAAACACCACCTTCAAAAGGCAACATGAAATGCCTGGGTGTATTTATGAAATTCCTCTAGTGGTTACTGAAGGGTCATTTCCTCTGCTCCTAACACAGCCGTAACAGCTGCCAGAGAAGTACAGAGGGACTGTGAAAGGTGCTGGTCACATCTGAAGGACCCTTCTCACACCACAGACAAAATGCAAAGACACCTCTCTTACTGGACCTGGCTTTTAATTACTGTGGAAGAGATAATCTTTGGAATAGTTTCAGACTGTATTTTAATGCAAGAAGTGCCACGTGTTCAAGAATGTAATTTATGTACAGGAGGAATCAGAAAGGAACATCAATTTCCATGCCTACGGTAACAGTCCAGGAAAGCCCAGCCAATAAAGACTGTGTCACCTCTACTTCATGGCTGTGAAACTCTTAGAGGCTTCTAACTGTTTGGGTGCAATGCTTGTACTTACATGTAGGCTGCCATCTTAAAAAATGTGCCTTACATATGTGAGGGACAATCTCCCCTGTGGGTACACATAGTTGGTCTTCACTGTGGCAGGTTCAAGATTTGAAACACTGCTCACAAAGGATTGTCTCAGTCTGCAGAAGGCCAAAACAGGGGCTGTCCTTACATCCTAGGAGTCTCCTGTGGCTTAAACACCACATTTATCTTAAAGTAGAAAGGCTTACATTAAAAGGGGAAATGGAGAGAAAGGTTAGCTGAGTCCTCAGGTTGGTTCCTTTAAGGAATTCACCACTTCCCCCTTTCTGAATCATATGGAACAGTCCTAAATCTCAAGCTGCTGATCTCAGATAAGCTGAGTGTTTGTCCAAACTGTGTGAGGATCATATTATAAATGAAGAATTATCCATCCAGATGCCAACTTTTAGCATTTGAGAAGAACTCTCTTCCTCTGAGACTGAAATTTTCGGAATTCCATGTCCACCAACAACCTCCCCTTAAATTTCTTTTTTTTGTTCATGGACTCAAACTTAAGTGAGTCCACTAAAACTCCCTAAATCTGGTGGCCTGTATGTCTTCTGCTGTGCCTTTATTCACAGTTGGGAGTTACTCTTTTAGTTATTCTTCAGCATCTGTTAGACTGCTAGACTGGAATCATCCTCCAAACCCCCTTTCTTTCAATGATCTTCTCCTCTCGTGTTCTGTGATGCAGCCAGGCTGCTTAAAGAGTTTGGCTCTTACCTAGAGGCACTTAATGTTCTGTTCTGTCAGTCAGGATTTCCAAAGTTTCCTACCACTGCTTTTGCTGACTCAGTTGTACTGCTGCTTCTAGTGCTGAGAATGAAGCACCCTGGGCTTTCTTAGCGTTTTATATTCCCAAAGCAGTCCTAGCAAATACAACTTCTAGCCTGGGCATCCTAACTTGGGGCAGGACTAAACCAGAAGTAACGGCAGGATGACATTTTAGTGGGGAAAACAGTACAGTCACAAGCTGCATTGGGGATAGCCTCAAATGTATGGAACTATACAAAAATATATGTAGTGTGGGACTGTAAATATCCCACCCTCTTTGTTTCTCTCTAAGGAGAGAACAGCTATGTCCCCACACAGAGAAGGTAAGTACTGCATCTTTAAGGTCTCAGCAGTGAGGTAGAGGAGAGGAACATATTGTCAGTGTTTATACCTTTCTTCTTTGTTGAATTTGGGATTGGCTTCAGAGATATCCAGGCTTTTACTGAACATTGTTTTACTATGGCAGGAACAAAGCGAGAAAACAGAGTTACTAGTGTGGACATTTATAAGAAAGAGTTACCTGAAGCAATGCTGGACACCCAGCCCCCCCAACCCATCCTCCCCTTTTTAAGCAATGCTCTGGAACCTTTATTTTACTTTCCAGCTATGGCTCAAGCCTACACACTGCTGAAGTTCGTTATCTCCACCTGACTTCTGAGGTCTAAGATGGCTTCACCCAAACATACTTTTAAACCCTGCTCTTCTCTATCCAGTTGAAAACCCAGGTACAACCTACTTTGTCACATTGTCCGGAGCATATAGAACGTGCCTGAAGGCACAGATTGCATAGCACTCTTTACTCAGACTTGTCTAGCAGATCTCAACACTAAGCATGATCTGGGAAAAGGTTCAAATTAGGCCACAGAGACTCTTAGAGGAAAAGTAATCCATTTTGTATTCTAAATTGTAGGTCTATTACCACTTACTCCCAGCTCTCTTCCCTATACTCAGTGTATAGAGAAATGTCCTTCTTTATAATCTTGGGTGTGAATCCCTGAAGCTTAGAAGCAAAATTCCCTCTGCCTTGCTAAAAGGGCAGCTCTCTGTAACATGTTTCACTGGTAATATGCTTCACTGTTTCGCAGAACACTGTTTTCTAATGTTAGTTGATCTTTCATGCAAGCTATCCACTTCAATAGCCAGAAGAAAATGCATAGTTAATGAAGCTCATTTTAGAACAGTTTTTGGACTCTCACAGAAAAGCTGCTGAAAATTTCTGGCATATCCCCACAGCATTCTAGTTCCCACAGAATTCTCCCTTGCCTGTCTGATTTTGGCACAGAGGCCAAATTAGCTGGTGTTAAACTATGCTCAGAACCTACCTCTTTTCTTTTGACATTTCAATGAAATACCAGATAGGCTGGGAAGTGTGGATACCAAAAAAAGCAGAATCAAATAAAATGTAGTTATGAACACCTTTAGTTGACAGCTAGTAGCGAAAACCACGAATCAACAATAGTTAGTCACCAGTTTTAGGGCGGCCAGTGTTTGTGCACATTTATTTTATCATACATCATCAAAGACCCAATGAAGGACACTTGGAGAGGTCAGCACAAACATCTCAAGGAGTCTGTAAGCTCAAAAAGCGGTCCTTGTGTTGAATTCCTCTCCTACACCACCCAGAACTAAATCACTAAAGGACTATGTTTTTCACCTAATACTTTGTCAGCCTGTATGACTGCTGAGACTTAAACCTCAATGGAAAGATGTGCCCTTAAACAAGCCAAGACCAGACGCTTGTAAGGACCCCACTTTATTACCAAAAGCACAGTTCATCACACAGACGCATAAAACCAGAGGTTACAATCCCCTTTATGCAAGAAAACATCTGTTCACTACTGGAAAAGGGAACGTAGGACTAAATCACAACAAACATGGGTGTGTTCTGCCCACTGGTTAGAAGAGTATCTCTGCTACCTTAAGAAAGAAGTAATGGCTCTGTGTCTCCAGATGTTTGCACAAGTCTATTGTGTCTAAATAAGAGGCCTGTTTCCATCATCTACCTCCCTGTTTTCCTAGTATTGTAGGATAAAAGCATTGAATAGTCATCTATCCAGACCAAAAAATGTCATTCTTCAAAAAAAAAGCATCCACTTCTGGGATCTAAGACCTAGTGCTGTAAAATCCACTCTCAGTGGGTCATTTCATGGAAAATAATATGCAGCTAGCCATTAAAAATCCTTCAGTCTTGGTGGAAGGCACTTGTCATTTTGTTACTGACTGCTCTGACAGATGGTGCCCCATCAGCAATGCATCGTCCCCAGACAATCCCCATGCAGTGGTGTTTGTTAATGAAGCCAGTTCACGTTATAAACGACTGTGCTGCCAGCAACACAAAATGTGCCATTGTTGTCTGTGGATGTGGAATGGTATGAATTATGGAAGCTCAGACATAGAGTAAAATAACATCTTCCCTTTAACCCCTTCCAAAACAAGCTCTACCAAGCTCATCATCATCAATCATGGTGTTATTACATCCCTTCCTCCACCCTTAATCACACCTTATGTCCAGCCCTGAGCTGTGTGGTACACATTTTCCTTTATCTCTTTTGTGCCTGGCATGTTTCACTTCTTATAAGCCAAAGTCCTTCCTTACTGATATGCCACCTGGGTATGTCTCCCCTCTGCTCTGCACTCATCTCAGATGTTTGACTTTAAATGCTTTCTCATCTGCAGAATTGAGTGAGGCATTTAAAAGCCAAAGAAATACTTTGGATAATGAGATGCAGCTTTGCTTCTTCAGCGTTTTTGAATCCAAAAGCAAAGCTGAGAGCTGGAAGAGAAGATTTCAGCTCTCAGAAAATTTCAGGATCAGTCTAACACGTTCTAGGCTGGATGAACATGACTGAATCATTACCTTTGATTGTTCATCTCACCACTTCCTATTTGTTCCACCCAGTTCGACAGTTACTGCAAACAGCTGCAGAGCACTGCAACTCACAGGCAGCCTTGGGGTGGGGAGAAGTGATTCACCTCTGTCTGTCTCATTTCTGGGAGCTTTGTGGCCCAGACCTCTACTGGATACCAGATTAAACACTGTAAGTTGAACAAGGAGTGAGCAACTGTTTGTCAGCCTTGCATTAGTCCCTATCACTTTGAGGCCTATGAGGGACACTGAGAATACATCCTGCCCTAAATGCTTCCTTAGCCCAGACCTCATTAAATATCAAAGCAAACCACACACTCGAGACAGGTTTCCAACCTACAACACAATGAAAAATCTTTCAGGCAGTGTATCTCAAGGCCATACATCTGGTCTGAAGTCCTAGCAAGATCCTCAAAATCAACATTTTTTCCTCCGTATAGACTGAACTGCAACAGTTGTCAGTAAAACTTTCCAGAAGATCTAGGGGACTCTGGACATGAAATTTTTCCATGTTCTTCACACAGTTCTCAGTCAGCAAAGGGAGTTTCTGAGCAGGCACAGCAAGCTCATTTTGAGCAGATCTTAACAGCTAAACAAAAGTAATCATGTCATAAAGCTGAAACAGAAGTTACAGCATCACCAGCATACACATTTATGAAATGTTCTTTAGTACTGATTGATTTATACAAGTGTAAAACTAAATGCATGTGCTTCCTTTAGGGTAGGCATAGCGACCGAGGAAACAACTTCCATTGTTCATATATGTGAACTTCCACAGTTCACTTATTCTCACAGAGCATGCCTTGAGGAAACACCATGCTCCTCTGCTGTTTCTCCACAAGACTAACACTTCCTCTGAGAGAAAAGAAGTAAAATTATACTTGTTTCAATGCTATACAGACAGTTGGTAATTTATGTGGGTCAGATGAGTGTTGGCTCTGACAGCACATTTTAGAAGTATCCACAGATGCCTGGACAGAGCTTTCCAGAGTCAAGCTGTTCTAGCAACGTGGATGGTGAGGTTCATCTCATTTAACTTCAGGTTCCTAAAAGCTAGGTACCTAATCCAAGAGAGTCATCTAGATTCCTGCTGTAGGCTATGGAGACAGAGAAGAATGACCAGAGCATAATTTATACTAAGATTGTTGGAACAGAGGACATATGTATCTAAGATCTTTCAAAGTCCTCATCTGTCCCCGCTGCCTAGAGTGACAGCCTGTGCATCTAGCTCAGACTGAATCCCTATGTTCTGGACAATTAAAATGAGATGAGATGAATCTTGCCCAGAGGACAGAGCCATTTCCTGAGAAATAGTTGCAAGCAAACAGAGCTCTTAAGCCCCTGGCAGGGCTTCTGCTCCTGTGTGCATAAGCGCTGTTGGCTGCCAGATCATGTTGCAAGTGTGCTTGGAGGTTGTTATGAATGCTGCTATGAACAGAAAAGCTCCACAGCTCCTTTGTATGTACAACATAAAAGAGGGTAACAAAGCCAGGAGGGACTCTCAGCTCTTGGGTAAAGGAGAGACCCACCTCTGTCCATGTTGTGCCATTTCAATAGCTCTGCGAGCAGGGACTGGGGAGCCGCCATCTGTCACGCTGAGAACCTCCATCGACTTCCTTTCTGGCCGCCGCTTCCCATGCCTGTTCAGCATTGGGGAGTCCACACGCTTCCGGGGGGGATCTTTACAAAAAGAAAACACTGTCAGCTGAATCTGGCTGTGATTTACCTCACAAAGCTTGGATCAGTCCTCTCTCACCAATCTCACTCTCACACCCCCCTACAGAGATAGGTATCTTCGTGATGGAGATGAACATTTGCAGCCTCTTTTCTTCCAAATTTACAAGCATTAAGACATAAGTTGCAATCCATCTGCAGAAAAAAGGAGTATTGCTACTGTCCTGAATGTACGAGCACTGTAAAATAAAGGTACAACTATAGCACAGCCTTCACAAATTACCTTACAAAGCTGATAACAGTAATAGCAAGATGATAGCATGGGCTATAGCAGAAGCTGCTAGCTAGAGCGTATGCTATCCAGGGATTCTGCTCATGCACTCAGGTAGCTAGAGCTTGCTTTCAATGTCCATGCTAGCTAAATTAAACGTGACACAAGGACATAAGTAGATTCTAAATTCAGACTCACATTCTCTTCTGAAAACACATCCTTTTTTTGCATCTTCAAGATTAGATTTCAGGTTTTCCCTGCTGTTTTATATTTTCCTCCTTCAGCATTACAAATTAAACATTCTTGTCTACCTGAGATGAATCTATGATGAGAGCTACTGAAATTTATCTCGGAGGTCATCACACAGCTTTTACTGCTATAGTAACTGAAGTGCTTTATACTTTTTATTGTGCAACATTCCTATGATGTATGGAAGTGCTACTTTTATTCTACAGAGTGAAAGCTGAGGTATAAGAATGAGATATTTAAAGACATTTCATACATAAAGGTGCAGACAAACATTTACTGCAGTTTTGAGAAGCTCCTAAGTTGCTCTGGAAAGTCTTTAGACACCAAACTGCGTAACAGAAAGTGCTCCAAGGTGACTTGCCAAACTATACACACCTTCATGGTGATGCAGGGAGCCGAATGCAGACCTGCTGAGTTCTTTTATTACTAACATATCTGATAGCATCAAAACAGTAAAGAAGAAAGCTGAAAAATAAATAGGGAAAGATTTTCTTGCTTTGGTTGGGCCATTTCAGTACCCTGCCTCTGTTTATAGGCACATTTTTAATTTTAGTGGAGAGTGACCACCTGTAAGAAAAGGCATCCTTCACCTCTTCAGTCAAAAAGAGGCTCACAGTGTCCAGTCCCTAAGGCTTCTTTGTCTGCCAGGATTTCTTTGTAAAACCAATAATGCTATATTTGACTATTATATCACTACTGCCACAGTTAGATCAGTACTGCCTAGTCTGGTGTTATTTTCATTACCCTGACGTCCTCAGCCCCTGCCTACTTGCTTGTTTCTTCTCTCTCTTACATCATGCTTTTTAGAATACGGTTCCTTTGACGCAGGGCTTATTCTTGAAACAATGAGCATGTGTAAATACAGCCCTAATGCAAACGGGCTAGTAATAACAACTGAGTGTGTTACTATAGAAGTATTACGTGTATTATAATAATAATTCTGTTAAAAATGAGTTAGAAAATAAACAGTTGTATCTCACTCCATTTCTAACTACTTTCAGCAATAAAAATATACTAGAAAACACCAGCAGGGGCAATCATCTTCAGAATAGGAAAAAAAACACAGTGCATAAAGTTAAGGGAAAAATAGTGGAAGATAAACCTAATAAAACAGTTGTATTGAGTGACTTCAGTTGCATACAGAGACGTGGTCAACAATAAGCTAGGACAGGATTTAGACATTTCAAATTCCTGCTTCTTCAAACAAGTTCAAAGAACAAGAAAGGATCCATCCTACAGAACAAATGCTGGTGTAAGAAGTGTGATTACAGATGACTAACTCACATAACCAGAATGAAATTAAATTTGGTATCCACAAGAGAGTAAATATAAAGATTCCTAGAGGGATATGAGACATTAGAAATGAAAGGAAAAAAGTGCAGTTGAATTAAAGAAAGGAAAAAAAATGAAGTTGGAAGATGAGGAAAGAGAATGAAGAAGGAAAATGAAGCAAGCATCTAAAGTCAAAAGAAAGGAGATGAGTAAGCTCAGATGGCATCAAGGTTAGTTAATAATAGAGTCTAAACAAGGAGAAGGAAAAAGGCAAGAAAAACATATGAGAAGATTTTTTAAAGGCAATTTCATCCATGCATGTTTAAAACAGAACACTTTAGAAAATGGCAATTCAGCCAAGTGACAGTTGCAAAAGTGATAGTTAGGCCAAATATAAGGTGGACATTAAAAAGAGCTAAAAAGGAATTTGAAGAAAAATGAGCCAAAGACTTGAACAGCGTTTTGTATAGCCATCAAAAAAAGAAAGCTTGAAAGAAGGATAGTAGCCAGAAGGACTATAAGGGAATCAACAGAGCAATTAAAGAAGATAAGGATATTGCTAACAAGCTAAATCATTCTTTTATATCAATCTTTGCTCAATACGCTGGAAGATACTGATTTCCAATCTGTATTTTAAACTTTCAAATAGAGGGAATAAGCAAAAGGAGCAGGTGGTGAAACACACCCATAAATTCAACAACAGCAATTCACAAAGGTTTGATGGAAAATACATCCAGAAGTTTGCATTGATGTAGTTGATCTTCTAACACTGGTATTTGATTCCTCTTGAAATTGGCTACAAACCTACACTATACATGGATAAGGTTGTCAAGTGCCGTAAATATTTTTTAAAATGGTCTGAATAAGAAACCACAGGGTACTGAGTCTGTCATCAATGTCAAGTCTAAAGATTCTAAAGTATACAGCCATCCTGCCATAAAGACTAAAGTGGTGGCATATAAGAACAGTTGGAGATTTTGCAGCAGCACAGGAATTAAAAATAGGAAAACCTCCAGTGTGCACACTTCTGTTTTTGAGTCTCTGGAAATATTTCACAGGGAAACAAAACGAAAACCCAAATTCAAGTCCTGGTCTGGATGTGGCAGTTTTGGAGAAGTATTTTCCTTTCATTTCACATCAGAAAAGTGAAGCCATTCTTAATTTTGTTTTGTTTTGGTTTTGTTTTTAACAGAGAAAGGCAGTATCATGTAGATAATAATCCAATTATAACAGTATTCATCTGAAAGGCAGGAAAGTTTCATCTTCTGAGTTTGAATGAGGCACCTATATCCTAATAGGGCAACTCTGGCTCAATCTCTTGTTCTCTAGTTTATTAAGAATTTCCACTACACAGAAGCCTTTTGCTCAGGGAGACATTAGTTGACATTCACATATTTTACTGAGAAATTTCTCATTTCCATGTTTTGGAAGAAAGAGGAAAAAGCAAAATATAATGAGATGCACCTTTCTTATTTTTTTTTTCCCCTGGCAAGAGCTCAGGCAATACACAACTCTCACAAATGTGGTTTCTTCAACCTGCTAATATTAAATCCATTACCTTTTCTCTGCTCTTCTCTGTTTGTGCTAAGCCATTGCTAATGGCTAATGATGAGATACTCATCAGAAGCATGACTGCTCTTAATTAAACCTTGCCCCATGTTCTCAGAAATACTGCTGGGAACAGAGGAGGTGGAAACCCCCTGTGGAAGACAAAATACAACTTACAAACTCTCAAAGAATAATGCTCCGAGTCTAAAATGTGCTAATGCAGCACAAAGATACATTCAGGATAGTGTTTCCCTGATGGGGAACATTTTCACCCCTTGCACAAAAAATAAAAATAAAAATCAGGAGTGGAGAACAGTTCAACACATGAAAACACATGTGGAAGAGATATATATGCTGTGTTACGGTCATGGCTGTGTATTCGCCTACATGCTGGATATGAACATTCTAGTCATCTTGCTTCTTTTTTTATGACAGAAGCATTTCTAAACCAAGATGGTGGTGTCTTTACATTGCAGGATAATCTGAGTCAAAACCTGATGAGTAAAGTGTTAGAAGACAAACTGCACAGAGAAAGGGCCTTTTGACCGGAGCACCCGCAGTAGATACAACAACCCATCTTCCTCAGGATACTTGCTAACATATTTTCTGCAGCTCCATTCAGGTAAGCATTTAAAAAATTACCGTGTTGACTCAGAATTTCCATTTCATCCCCCACAGACGAGATTTCTCTGTAAAATTATTGGGCCTGGAGCCTGGAACTTTGATAATGTAATCATTCAGTTCAGTATTAGCAAACGTATAGTTCAATATACCACTGCCCTGTAGGCCTGGGAGATTACAAGCTTTCCAGTGAGAATAAAGAGCACTTTGCTTCTAGCCTTCAAAGTGCTGAAATACAAGACCTAAAAATCACAACACTAGTATATAAAAACGCTATTTCAGGTAATTGATAGAAGTGAGTAGTGCTTTATTAGTTAAACTTTTGTCGCTGTGCAGAGCAAGAGTCACTTACATAGTTAGCTCCTTAGGGGAGCATTTTTCCTGTTGTCTGGATTAGTGTAGTCCTTGGTGATCAACAGTACTCTAAAATACTAACAAATAATTCTTCAGGAATAAAACATTATCACAGGAGTTTTAAGAGATATGTAATCTTACTGCTATTAAGGTTTCAAAATCTTTTTAAGATAGTCTAAAAACATGGTGGTGCAATGTACGCACCATAAACAGGGCCAGTGATACTATTCATACTTCTAACAGTGTATGTATTTACCTATAGAAAAGAGGATGTGTACACATATAACTTTATCGGGATGTAATGCTACACAGTCTTACTAGCACAAGTCCAGAAGCAGCGCTTCTGCAATACTGCATGTAGATTAGTAATTACAAAATTCTGCCATTACATTACAATGCTCCTAAACTTCATCTACTTGCATGGAGGCAGCTTGTGGGTCCACATGGTATTTTTTATGATTTCTGATTCAAAACCAACTTGGATGTTTCTGCACTGACACAGATTATGTCCTGAAGAATGAAGCCCTGTAACCAGAAAATAGACCTGCTTGCCTCAGGCTGCAGATTCTCACCAGCACTGTGCACTGTTTCAGTGGAAAAGTAATAGTAATGCTAGGGTTTGAGGATATTAAAAAACAAAAAGGCAAAGAGGAACTACTTAAGATGTGTTTGTGATGACAGAGGTCTTATCTGCAGTACCTATTTCATTCCTAGGGGGAAGATCCTCATCTTCATGACTGGGATACCTCTCCTTCCGGTCAAGCAGAAGAAAATAAATCATTTTCTCTTGGTTTTCTCTGAAAAAAAAAAAAAGGAAAATATCTTTAAATTTGAAGATAAAAAAGCAAAAATGTGTAAACAAACCTTTCTCATCAAACAAATAGTTACAGTTATTCTAAATAAGCTGGAAATGCCTGACAACTAGATATATAACCCACAAAGCTTTTGAGAACCTTGCTGTCTCCAACAAGCAGCTCATGAGAGAAGAAAATACGATTCCCACATTACACATCTGGAACAGAGCTACAGGACAGATGAGGTAATACATCTGCAAGAAGCTGAAGAGTGGCACAAGACATATTTCCTGAGCTTTTTCCCACTATGTGTCCCTGGTAACACCTCAGGAAACACAAAAGCTGTCTGGCATAAGTTTGAAATAAGTAACAGTTTGCTCACAAAGGCATATCCAACACAAATAGCAGCACCGACACCTCCCCATCTGGACTGCAAGGCCCATCTTTTTGTGAAATTACCATGCCCAGCAGTGAGGGAAGAGACAACAATATTCCACCACTGACACCAAGTGTTAGGAAAGCTCAGTGACCCCTTGCTCCCTCCCAGAACATCACTGGCTGCTGAGCAGCTAGAGAGTGAGATGTTGCTACAGGTCCCTCATAGCAAGAGACACAGTAAAACAATTTCCACCTTTCCCCAGGTTTGTAAGCATCCCAGCCCTGGACATCCAACTAATATTAAGACTGAGCAAGTGCTTACTCTTCTGACAACAAGTCCTGTAAGAGTTTATTTCGGTCACGGAAGCAGCCTAACGAGTGCATGCTATCTAACACGTCTGGATCGATATCCTCCAAGGAAGGGAGAGAACGAATCTGCACCTTTCGAGGGATTGGTTGCTCTGGTTCTGGTTCATTCTTACCACCTCTGCAGAGGAAAGAAAATGAGAGAGAGAAAGGGGGCAGGGAAAGAAGGAGAGAAAAGAAACATGAGTCACAAATGAACCCGTACTCTGAAACACAGCCTGCAGCACCAGATGGAAATAGCTTGTTAAATCCCCACTGAGAGACCAGATCTTGCAACCAGACAGATATTCTTTTCAGAAGACACCGCATTGAAGGCTGAGAGTGACCATCACCTTGTGGATTTGGTCTTTAATGAGAAATATCTGCATTCAGTCAGAAAGGCAGCAGGAACTTCACTTACCAGTGCCCTCATAATGTAAGCAGCTGTTCAGCATCCTAATGCCAAACATTTCTACAACACTACATGGTTTTAGAGACGCTGTCTCATCAGCAGGCCAGACTCAGGCAGTCGGGCTGGGAAGCACAAGCTGAACGATTCCCCTTCAAACAACGAGCTGTGAGAACAAAACCTCGCTGCGTTTCACCAGCTCTTTACAACCGGCACTGCAACCATTTAATACTTAGAAACTTCCAAGGCGATTTAAGAGACCTCACTGTTGAGGTACATATTTAACACACTTTAGAGGATTTTTCTGGGGAAACCAGTTTCTTTATTTATATTCCTAAATACAACTCTGCTTCTCTTCAGAAATGCAAATTTGAAACTTCTGGCTCAAGTGTGCCTGAGGTCAGTGGCTAACCTAGGAACACGCATTAGTGGTAGAGCATATTACTCTTCGAAAAGTAGTTAACACAGGCTTCCTGTACAATCCTCTCACTCTATTAACTGGACTCAGGAAATGCAGATTATTTGTTGCAGTTAAAAGCCCATAATGTAAGAAACAGGTCAAGATGTCATGACATCTATAACAGACCGAACGCTACATATTGCAGGCACCCTGGATAACCTTTGCTTTTGTTTAGCTGGGAAAGGACCAACCTAGGTCAACTCTATCCACCTAAAGAGGTGGGTTTGGTGGTGGTGGTGTTTTGGTCAGAGAAACTGTCTATCCAGGCTCTTCGCTGTTTCTTAGTGGATGTTCTGTGTGACGTTGAGGCTTTCATATTCTTCAGGTGAGGTCCTCCCTTTCCTTTACGTGATGTCAATGTGTGACTGTCAGGTCCAGGCTGTGTTTGTTGTTTCTGGGGCTGATGCCTCCTTGGAGTCTCACAGAAGTCTCTATGTCTTGTGCAATGACAACATGGTCCCAAATCTAATGGCTAAATTTGGAAATCTTGTCCAACTAAAGAAACATCTTATTCCATGAGTGCCCTGCCCTGCCTTTAGGAGGTAGCTACTCTTACAGCTCGTTATTAGTCAAAGTGTGTCAAGATTTAGCTCCCAGCAGGTAATAAGCAAAGACTAGACCATAACCTTGGCTGTTAAAGCCACTGATGACATTGTCATTAAGATAAATTCTTGCAGGATGGACCTTCGGACAGCAGCTGAGATTTTGTTTTTTAATGATCTGGAGTTCATTTTTAGAAGGAACAGACTTCATTAATAATTTATTACATTAAAAACAGAGGTCCTTAAGGTAATTTAAGAGACTAAGAAGAAATTATTGTTTTGGAAAATTCCCAGAAATTTTGGGTTTCCTACTTGTTGCCCTAGCCTACAGCGGAATATCACCTGCAAGCACCTTTTACAGCTATCAGCTTGGGTGCCATTTCTCGAGAGCACAGCTTGGTATCTTCTGTGCAGGGAAAAGTGGCTTTTCCTTATGCCCGGCACCTGGTCAGCCTCAGACATAGGCAGGAATATTCACACCTCCTCATCAGGTACAAGAAAAATCTGCAAAGAGGTGCCTCATCATTTGGCAATGCATTCAGTGCGTCGGGAAATGAAAATCACCGGTCTGTGCTGTGATTGGCATGCCTGTATTGCCTGTTCCATTCTCAGTCTGGTAGAGAGTGACAAATTTGTTGCATTTCAACCCACATAGACATCAAACAATGTCACCCAATGAATACTGCAAATCACGTATATTTTTTAAAGGCCTGCATGAATGTAATTGCTGCTTTTAAACCCTGCCTCTTTTGTGAGGAACGGTGCATACAATGGATGTGATTCCAGAACAGGGCGGACTTTTTCAGTCTCTCCATGAAATTCCCTCGTGAATCTCACTGAGATGCACATTTACATCAGAGCAAAGCGAAGCAGCACGGGTACCATTCTTCTTTTGATTTTAGTAAATTTGGTACCTCCACAATTAGGGCAATAACTCAGCGTTACTGAAGTATGCATTTACCATAATAGCTAAATTTATTTGCCCTCTTGCTTTAGTACAAAAAGGTGAAAACATCTGATGTTTATTTGCTGATTTAAGATAACCTGTGCTTGAAGTAAAAATAAATGGTTTAAATTAAAAAGGCTTAAAAAACCTCACTGAATTAATTTGGGTGGGAGAGTATGAAGAACTGGAGGTTGGTGATGAAAGGTTTCTCCTTGGTTTTTCTTTTTTATAGGCTTATGAATCATGATTTCAACTTTCAAGACCTCTTTCTCTGTCCGCTGAGACTGCAATTAAATCTTTTCCCCAGTTTTACAAAATCCTGAATATTTATTTGAAGAATTAAGTGAAATGACTTATTGGGTTCTGAGAACAACTTTCAGGTCAGTAACTTATATATGACGAAGAATAAAGATTTAACATGGGACAGTAGTGTTAAGTGAAATAGGGAGAAAATGAAAGATGTGAGCAAAACAGCTACAGTGTGCAAACACTTGTAACCACTCCTTCTCTGTCAGCATCAATATTTCCAGGCAAAATGAATGCAAAGAGGCTGTGAAACATTACCAGATGAAAGCAGTAGAGTTTTGGAGGTGGTAAGGTTATTCACAGACTAAATTTAGCCAAAGGAGGTTAACCTCCTTAGGTCAATCCATGGCCAGTAGAGAATGAGAGAGAGCGCTTTAAAAATATAGCTTTAAAAAGCTATTTTAAGCAGAAACTTTGTTTTAGGCAATCTGAACAGACTTCTGGAGGAGCTTTTCTCTTTCTTTATTGACTATAGCAGGAGCGTAGGAGGAACCTGCTTTTGCAAAACTCAGTTTATACTTATGAGAATGGCCTCAGATGCCATTTCCGTTGGGGTAAAAACCTGTTCACTGTGCAAGTCATCAGAGAATCTGACCTTCATCAAGAAGTGCATGAAAATGCTCTAACACTTATGTTTGCAAAGAAAAAATGTTCAGATTTAAAATCTAGAATAAAGTCATGAAATGACACCTGCCTAATTGTGCATGTAAGCCTGGGACAATAACCCTCTGAGGTGAAAACTTCCAGGTTAAAATCTCGAGGATAGTTACAGTAATAATAGAAGTGATCAATGACATTTAATTTTATTTCCTATTCCACTTCTGATCAAAGGACAGAGAAACTGAAGTCAGCTGATTTTACTCCATAAAGAAACAAAGGGGATCAACTGTCTAGTCTTACAGAACCAGAATTTACTTTTGGGCTTTCTATTGCAACGTTACAGTAGGGCTATTTCAGATTTACAATTAGAGATTTTTCCCCTCAATTTATCCATCAGAGATGAAAAAAAAAAAAAACAAACAAAACTGCAGCAAACAAGACTCAAGTCCTCTGATTTTAAAAGGTGCCATGTCAGCCCGTAACTGTAGAGCGCATGAAAAAGCCACAGGCAGAGTGCTACCACCATTTCAGGTGAACTAAGAACAAAACATGTTATTCTACAAACTGTTGAATGCCCTTGGGTCCTATTGAAGTCAGTGAAGCCAGCAAGTGAACAGTGCCCATAAGATAGATTTAGAGAAAACAAAACAAATCAAAACAAAGGTGTTTTTTCTTCCTGGTGACAGGCTTAAATATCAGTTCATATCATCCTCAAATATTTCCCAAGAGCAATGAGAGGAGGATTATGAAGGCAGGACTTTTCTTATCACCCACCCAGGGAGTGTGTAGGAACACTGACCCCCAGAAGCAAGTATCAAAGCATAATTTCCTTATTTAATATCTGTGAAGTATTCTCCTTAGTTTGATTGGGTTATCGTGAGTACAAACAAAAAATGTTATTTACTTAGGTTTCTTGAAATACTATTAGGGCTACACAGAGTGCAAGGTCACTTTTAAAAGCCATCAATCTTCCTTACACCCAAACCACTCGACAGGCATGTACTTTCTCACAGACCTCCTGTTTCACTGTCAAGACTGCTGCTTTTAATCAAGTCACAGAACTACTCTCACATCAACAGGTTACAAGGTCAGAAGCAGCCTCTTAGCTTGCTGTGAAGGAGTAGGGATTATGAGGCAGAAAATCTTGTTCACAGGTGCTTACTTATCAATATAATCATTTTTGTTTCTACTTCAGAGGAAAGCCAAGATGCCAAGAAGGAACAAGCAAAAGCTTTCTTGTCAAGAAGGTATTACAAGGGATTCTCTGGAGCACTTGAAGAGCAAACCAAATATGGCTGTTAGGTTGTGGGTTTTTTCAGTGGTGATGACTTGCAGGTATCTTTTTTACACAGAAAGTTGGTGGACTGAATGTTTTATTTCAAACAACTGTTAGTCACTGCATACATCTTTCCCAGCTTGAATCTATAGGGATGAAATTATACTAGCAGCAGAGGGTAAAAAAAACAACACATTAGATGCCTTCCCGTCCTCTGCCCCTTTCTCCACCTGTGTGAAAGCTGCTTTCAAACTCCAATCTCTCTTGTCATAGATCACGAGAATAACAGCCCCCGTAACATGATTAATACTGAATGCATGCAAAAGTGAATTTAAAAAGCATTACTTACATATACCATATGTGTTTCTGAATATGTTCTAGCTGCAAAGAAAAAGAAAACAAGTAATTAGCTCTGTAAAACAAAAAAGGTAACTCCACAAGACATCCTTATTCAAGGCTTGCTTCTAGTGAGGACTAAATCCACCATTCCAGAGCTGGATCTGTGCAAACAACAGGAACTTTCTACTGCGTAAAGAGCATGTTCATCCTCACCCACCCCACTGTATATGAGATTATTTCTCTGGACAATGGAACAAGTCAGGAGCAAATCCCAGGAAAATGTGCAAGGACAAGGCTTCACCAGCAAGTGTTTTGGCCATTTAGGTTTTTCCCTTCCTAAGCCATTCACCTTGAAAATACAACTGAAGCTAACAAATGGCTCCAATCAGTATGTGCATAATGACCGACAGTTTACACCAAAAGTTCATTTCCAGTTTTTATTTTGGAAAGAGAGAGAGAAAGGTTGAAATAGACAGGTTGAAATAGACAACGTAAATGAACAAAATAAAATGTGGACATGTGACATGATCTTCTGCCAGGACCCATGCTTGATTAGCTTCAGACTTACCATTAAAATCTAAAGACCAAGTGGAATTAGGTTCTATGTCAAAAAGATAATATTTATTGTTCCAGCAGCTGAACCCCTGCCTGCAAGTTTATTTTGCTTCCCTTTTTTCTGCTTCACACGTGAATATTTTACTATGTAATGAAGGACTGACCAAAGCTTAACAGTGGCTTCGTCCACCCATGGAAGGCATATACCAACAAATGTTACATGATGACCACAATTTCCATGAGAAGAGGGGAATAAAATAACAGCTTTTTGCCAAGAGAAACCCCAACAGCAGGGAGAATAAACTGTTAACATTATATACTTAGAGCAGAACCTTCCTAATCCTGTTTTTTTGAAGCATCATCACAATAGAAAAGCACTTTTCATAGATACTCAGGGATTATTCATTACGAGAACAATATTTTTTGTATTTCCCGTTACAAAAGCCTTTGTACGTGCAGAGCAATGTGCACGCTCACTGCACACAGGCTTGTGTTTGTGCAACACACAACTGAGAGGCAGGAGAGAGCTGGAAGGAAACTCAAGTGCTAACAGCTACATGATGAAATCGCAGGCCCATTAAACTGGTCAGGAAGAACAGAGACAGCTGTCCTGCTCCTATTACTTTCCACTTCAATTCCAGAATCAGAGAGTGAAAAAAAAAAAAAAAAAAAGAGGAATGGACAAACAACAAAATCTCACAGATAGAAAGTAAGTGTTCATCACAGAGAGGAGTGAATCAGAGGCCTCTGTGCTGTGGAATAACAGCTCCTTGACTGCACGTATGGGGTTTACGTGGCAAGGTTTTGGTAGCAGGGGGCTGCAGAGGTGGCCTCTGTGAGCAGAGCCCAGCAGCTGCCCCCTGTTAGATAAGAACCAGCTCCAGCTACTCGAAAGGGACCCGCCACTGGCCAGAGCCCAGCCATGAGCAATGTTGTTTGTCCCTCAGTGAGAGCAGATCTAAGAAAGGGGAAAAAAAAAATACTGCACAACTGCAGCTGGGTGGTCACAGGGCCACACAGGGCCACATCTGTTTTTGTTTTTTTTTTTTTTTTTTTTTTAGTTGTTATTACTGCTCATTCAGGCGTTGCATATGACACAGAACCCCAGTCCGTGGGCAACAGCTCTGCCACAGGGAGCCCCCATCATCACAGCTCCCCCATACCAGGTAGTCCTTTCACTCCTGCACTACTATGAGACATGTGGAGTATTCACAACACACTGCTGTCTCCCCGAGCAGCTTAATTTAAGGAGATAAGGTACATATCTACGTATGTTCCCCTTACAGTCTGTAGATGCAGCCCTCTTCCTCTTGCTCTGTGCAAGCTGAGGTACAGAGCCTATCAGAAGAGCCTGTTTTGTACATCTTCCACAGGACAGGGCTTTAACATTCTTAGTTATCAAGTGCACGCTGCTATGAGGATCTGCTAAGGACTGTGCCTCCTTTGTTTGGTAAAACCACCCTGTGAGATTACCGAATGGTTGAGGTGGGAAGGGACCTCTGAAAGTCATCTGGTCCAACCCTTGCTCAAGCAGGGACACCTGGACATGAGGTCTACCTACCGTGTCCAGGAGGCATTTGAATATCTCCAAGGAGGGAGACTCCACAACCGCTCTGGGCAACCTGTGCCAGGGCTCTGGCACTGCATAGCAAAGAGCAGCTTCCTATGTTCAGATGGAACCTCCTGTGTTCCAGTTCGTGCCCACTGTCTCTGGTCCTGGCACTAGGCACCACTGAAAAGAGCCTGAGATGCATATCTACTCTATTTCCTACACACCACATGGAGGATTAGAGACATTAATGATTTCAGACAAGATGCAGATGATGCAGCTAAGCAATGTCCAAGTCTCTTTCATGCTTGCTTCTTCTCTTGCATTTTCTGTCTCTCTGGGTCACATTTTTCTTTTGTGCCTGCAATAGGCAGAAAACAGCACGTTGTTCTCTAAGTCAGAGAGGGGGAAGAAAGGAGGGTCACCAGTTCATGTCTTAGTCGGGGAACCCTTGGGCTCCTTCAGAGAATATATGAAAGAGAAATCCCCTCTGCCCATCCTGCTGATCACCTCCTCCAAGCTAATGAACCCATATAGCATTTTTCTGAAAGAGAAGTCCCATAGTGCCGTGATATGTATCTGAAGGTGTATGAAAGCTCTCATGTGGGAACAACAATGGCTGCTGTTTACCTACACATCTGCAGTTTCATCCACATCAAAATCATTGCTGTGAAGTACTCAGGGATATCCCAGATCCGAAAAGTACTCTACAAAACCAATTTCTATTCTGATTCAAATGTAATTGCATTGAAATGTTATTACAAGTGTACTTGCTGCTGCCAACATCTTCATTGCTTTTTTAAAGGTAATTAATTAATGCTTTGTTGCTTTTCATCTGCATTAAAGTGACAGGAGGGTTATGGGAGGGCGATTGGTTTTGACAAGGAGAAGTCTGTATGCTTTTTACTATGCAGTGTAGGGGAGGGAGATACACAGTGGGAGCTAATCTCACTCCTCCTGCCTTCATTTAAACACAATGTTTAAATGCATTTAAGTGACGAAGGCATTTAACAGCCCTCCCCAGAGGGTTCTTCTTGCTGTTTGCACATGAGTTTGCCAAATTTAATGTCGTTTTATGGAAGTTGTTAAAATGCTGCTTCCTAATATCTCCTAGCCACCGCAGGCAATTGCCTCATGATGTCATCTCTGAAACAAAAACATGATCAGATCCATTGCACATGCACAGTCAGAGGACAGACCTCTGCAAGCTAAAATGCTGTGATGGAAGAAGGGGAATTCCTTTGTCACAGTTTTACTTAAAATACTTCCAATACATATTAACCTTGTATACTGAAGTAGCATTTATTTAGGAGCCACACTTATAGATCCACTGCAATAAAGAGCTGTATAAGTTCATCAGAAAAGGAGGTCTCCTCCCCCAAGGAGCTTACGTCTGAATTCTAAGACCGGGAACAACAGATGGAGACAGACAGGCAGATGGAAAACAAGACAGTGCTGTCTACATCCTCAGCACTGATCTCAGCAGAGTGGTTGCCAAGCTAAAAAGTTCTGACCTGATGAAAAACTTTCTTGAAGTCTGTAGATATGGATGAGGGCTTCTGGGCTTGAACTCATGTCAGTTTCCAAACTTCCCTGTCCAGAAAGTGAACAGTCTCAAACCCATCTGTGCACTAACTCCATGTATACTTCAGATCAATCTTGTTCAGTTAGAAGATCCTCTAGTCTCGGCTTTAAACCTGCTGTATGATGTCAAGATACAGGCTTTTCCTGACCAAAGGATTCAAGCTGAGCACAAACAGCAATGGTAGAACTATTGTCTTTGTCAGTAGTAGCAGCCATACTATAGCAGCCTCTAGGGACCTTGACAAGGGCAAGGCATCACTGTGCTAAATGCACATTGTAGGAATAGGCCTTTGGCAGCCAAAAGCATACTGCCTAAATACATCAACTGGACAATTACCTCCATTCTACACGTGGTGAAGTGAGACAATTTGAATGATGTGATAGGCACCTTACCAAAAGACCTTCTAGAAAAATGAAGGGAGCAAGGTAAGTTTTCCCTCTGTTTTTTTTTTGTTTTTTTTTTTTAACATTCTTTAGATTCTGTGCTCCGAGCAATAGAGATAACATCATCAGACCCCAGGAAAAAAAACAAAAAACAAAAAACAAAAAACAAAAAACAGCAGAGAAGAGATTCTGAAAATTTGGGTAATTTAACTTGGCTAGTATTTCAGACTTAACATCTATGTGGACATCCAACGCAAGTTAAGTCATTTTATTCTGGAATAAAATGTCAGCACGGGGAACAGTAACGGTTTTATCATAATAGTTTATTCTGCAATAACTGATCTGCTCTGATCCAACTTGCTGCACATATACAGTTTTAACAATGCTCACCCATCTTTAACAGGAGAGTGGACCCAAAGCTCCTTACTCTCCCCTCTTTGCCTTTGTGTTTCTGCAGAAGAAAACATCAGTGGAGAATGCAAATGGATTCTACCACAGGAACTGTAATTCTTCATTGTAGAGATGCTGAATCATTGAAAACATCCAAGCAGAAAACATTCACTGTCCAAAGTGCACATAATCGAAAGGAACTGTATCCTGCAATACCGCAGGCACTGAGAGCACTCATTTTCTTCCATAAACCTTATCTAACTGAAAACTAGTTCACTTTGCCCTCCTGATACTACTTCTACTAGAAAGCTGTCCCAGAACCCCACTGATACAGCTAAAATGCATTTTCCAATTTCCAGCCTACTTTCACATCAGGCTATTTGACATACATTTGTTTTTGTGCCAGTATCTTCCTTTAGTTTAAATAAACCTCTCCTTAGTAATTACCTCTAATGCATATGAGGATGACTAGTGCATCCTCTCTCACATATCACCTGGGTACACTACGTCGAGCTCTTTTAGACTGTTATTCAAACAAGCTCTCTGCAGTTCTGACCACCTTAGTATTCATCCTTTACACCACTGCCAGTTTGATTTAATCTTTCCTGAACACAGGTGGTCAGAAATACCACGCCCAGAAGCTAGAATCTCCTTTTGCAGCCTACTGAAAGAAAAACATGGATTCTTTTACTCAAAGTATGTTTAGGTAATTGAGCCCAGTAAAGGAGAGTGGTCAGGCACATCCCACTATCTGTTCTTTAGGCTACATAACACATGGTGAGCATGAAGATTATTCCACTAAGACATAATGAACTCCTCTTTCCATAAATGAATCATATACACTGAAAGGTAATGCCAATTTCTTAAGGCAGGAAAGGGCCAGCAACAATAATTCTGAGTACTCTCCTCTCCATTAATTGTCTCAAGCTCTACCACTGAAGCCGAATGATGACAGTTGAACGTGAATACTAGTTCTGTTTTTGTTGATCATTTTAACAGATGGACTGGGGAAGGTGTGGGTGTGCTGTGAAATGGCAATTACTGCAGGGAGGGAAATGCAGTTGGAGGAAAAGGAAAAAAAAGATACAAATCAAAAAAAAAAAGACAGAAAGAAAAAAAGGAGAAACAAAGCAGAGAGAGGAAGGGAAAAATAGAAGAAAAAAAATCTAGTGACCTTACATTCACTGTGTTTTTCTGCTGAATTCACCAGTAAGATACTGAACGAACTAATGTTAACAACTACATCTGTCCTTATTGTACCCAGGCTACAATTTTGCTCACATCTTTATAAAAACATCAAATTGATTCAAGTGAGAAATTTTCTAAGAATAGTGGCTTCCAAATAAACCCATATTTATATCCTTTCTTCACAGGACACAGCTGAAACAGAATTCAGCTCTCTCCTGGAAATGAATTCCCAGCTCCTGTGCAGTAAACAAAGAGCTCCCTTCTGCCTGGCGCTCTAAGCAACCGCAACGCTAACAGCATAGAAAGGGAAGTGTGACAGCAGCAGGGACAGCAAACCAAGACCCTAAAATAATGAAAATAAGATTGCAGCTAGTAACAAAGAGCAATCCTTTTTTCCTCTCATCTCTCATCTCCTAAAGACATTCTATTTCAAATTCTTATTCACAATCTACTGGTTAGTGCTTGTCCATAACTATCTGATCTGTTTTCTTTCTCCCTAAGGAAATAACAGCTTCTTTTTGATCAAGAAAAGGGGGAGATCACTATGGGACCTTGATTTCCTTTAACATTTTTCTCTCTTGTGTGTGTACAGTTTCTGCTGTATCGCATAATTCAAAAGCTTCAGGCAATACTAAGAAATTGGATTGTTCTATAACAAAATTAAATCATAACAATTTGAAGAAGATCTAATGTCTGATGATCTGCTCACTGGCATACTCAAGCCATCTGCACTAAGATCTTTCAGAGAAAAATAAGTACATCTCATCTGTTCTGCATCATGCTGGTTTCCGGAGCAAAAGCAGCAATGTATGTATCTGGGAAGCAAAGGCAGTACGCTCGTCATTCAGGGGCTTGCCTACCCACCCCTTGCTGCCTTACTGTCTTGCTCTACCCAGTTTGTGAGGCAGGGAATACTGTTACATTTACCTTATGGAAAGGAAACTGAGATAGAGAAGGACTTAGTGACTTTCTCAGTCACAAAAAACACCTCTCTCACGTCTCAGGGTACAGCCCTAGCCTCTGGAGAATTCCTCACATAAAAATACTTGAAAAAATATTGTTTTCTCTCTTTCTTTAAAAATATAATGAAAAAGGGCTTTTAAAGTGCCTAACATATGTATTTACTTTTCTATCAGTGCTACTCTCATACCGCAATGTGATGGTTACTGTGTTTGCAGAGGTAAGGATACCTGTAATATCATAAAGAACTTTCCACCTACGTCACCAGTGCATGACCTGGTTTTGTAAAGAACAAAATAAAAACCTGGCTGCAGCTGCCAGGTACTACTCTTAAGAGAGTTGAGAAGGGAGCTTCAGTTCACTTCTTAGCAGACAGGTGTGTGCATCCCAAAAGCACCATCACAGCTGGTGGAGACTGATTCTGTTGTTAGCAATCTCAGCAGAGAGGCCAAGCACTGATCTGAGAGTTTATTTATAAATATTTTAGCAGACTGAAGAACCAGGAGGAGTTTTAAATTTACATTTCTTTATACATACTCCCACTCAGAATCTGTGAGCTTAGTAAATCTGTATAAAATCATCACCAGAGCCTGACAATAGGATTTACAAGGGCAATGTACCCATAAAGGCAGAAGCCTCCACTGACAAGCAGGCAATCTTGCTTTCCAAAACGATTTTAATTGCTAATTTTTTTTAATTCCCCAAAACATTACCACAGTGTTAATGAAGGATACAATCACTACACAGTGCTCACCCTTGCAGGGTTGTTGTAGTGATGGGATGCATCCCAGATGCAAAGATTCAATGCCGAATGCCAGCAGCTCAGCACTGCAGGCCTAATTGTGCTCAGGACCACAGGGCAGAACACGGAATAGCAACTAGAAGACCCCCACTCTGAATGCTGCCACAGGATAATGCAGAGCACATACAGGACAGAATACAATGCAGCTGTGTGGCATGAAGTGAGAAGCCACACTTTTGTTAGAAATTTAAAACAAAACAAAACAAAACATACTCTGTTTAATAGCAAAGCTTCAAAGAACTGTCCTAGCAGTTTTGACCTTCAAACAATTACATGATGTCCCTGACAAATGGGTGCACCTACCAGGAGAGGCAGACTACCCAGGTGGACTCCAAACTGTGCTAATGGGTCAGTAACACTGTGAGGACATTATGAAGGAGTTATTCTAAATGCCCACTGTGGCACATGAGGGAGGATCATGAAGCTAGAGAAGCAACACAAAGGTAATCTGGCCCCATCGTTTAAAAGAGAAGGCATCAAACTTCTTCCCCAGCCTCCACTAACTCCACTCATCCTTGGTTCAGGAGGAAACACACAGGACTGGCAGCAAATCAACAAGTTTCCTTAATTATACATCCACAACTGCAACTAGGTGACCAATGAAGCCTTGGTCACATGGCTTGCAGCAAATGCCTTCTTACCGTGAGACGTTTCGAGGCATCCACTTCAATCATCCCCCGCAAGAGGTTCTGACAGTCCGGGGGGATAAAATGTGGCATGTGGAACACTCCACGCTTCACCTTCTCCAACAGCTGCCTCAAGTTGTCGTCATCGAATGGCAGGGCACCCTGCAGGGATGTGACAGAGGCAAGGGAGTTAGTTGGAGAGGGCAAAAGGAGAAAAGCCAAGATAAACATAAGATAAAGGAAAAGAGAAAATCAGCTCATAATGAAGTATTATAATAAGTGAAACAGTCTCTTTATCCACTGAAAATAAATAATTTCTTAGTGCTGCTGTATTTTCTCCAATGCAGGAAAAAAACTGAGGACACAGTGTATTTTTTTTAAACCTTTAATTAGAAAATGACTACCAGTATAAAGCATAATACAAAATATGAAATTGCCTTTCCAGGCAAATTCAGCAAAGATGCATGGATTCACTTAAATTCAGCTCAAGCTTTTGATCTGCTGGTATTCCTCCTGGGCATACTTTCACTGCAGCAATGTTTATCGTCTCCTTATTTTTAATCTTCCCGAGACACATTTATTGCAGACATTGGAAAGGAGGTGAACAGCATTTGAGAGCATTTGAGAGACTTTCAGCAAAGAACATCCTCTTTCTGACGGAGCAGTGCAATGACACAGCTCAAAGAAATCCTAACCAACTTTAGCCTTTTGGAAGCAGCAGACGTTCTACCTGGTTAATATACTCCATGCAGTTCCCATGCAGTGGTCAGGTCATCGGTTCCTATTGCTTCCCTACTGTAGCTCACTTACATGAATGGCTTGAGATTTTTTAGCTGGAATTACATTTTGAATAGATCATCAGCTTGTCACAAAAAAGCAGCAAAAGACCTATCCTTGCTGCAAGGACAAAAAGGAAAAAAGAAGTTGAAATCTTTAGGATAACTCCACCAACTGAAGCCAATATCCTTTTATAGCAAGTCTGCACCTTCCTGGATATTCTCACTTCCCTCTTTCACTGACTAATACTGGTAGGTGCTGAGCTTCTTCGATTTCCAGGAAGGTTTGTAGGAAGTTGCAAGCTGTCAGCTGCTGTGATAATGAAGCTTTCAGTTGTCAGTGCTGGCACTGCTCTTACTACAGCGAGTATTGCATCTGTATAAGCAGTCCTGTGTCTGGTTTAGTGAGAGAGACCAACAGCTCCATTTACAGAAGCCTTGGAAAGCCCGCCTGACAGCAGCAGCTACTGGGCACTATTTACTTTTGTTTGTTCATTCAAGCAGCCATGAAGAAAGGGCCTCCCTGTCTTCTGCAACCAACCTCCTGAGTTATCTGCTTTTCTCCTAACCATTCCAGACTCACAGGAAAATCAATTCTGATAGTTCAGTACTTTGGCTAACGCAATTTAATCCACGATGAAGTCAGCAAGGCTGCTTTGTGGCATTTCCTGAAGGTAACAACTACAGCTCTTTTATTACTACCACCTGCTATTACAGCTTGAGACTTTTTGCAGGGTTTCTCCTGACATAATTAACTGGAGAGTTCTGCACTCTCTGTCAATAATAGACTTATTTCAGTCGTTTTGCAGGCTCATGTATATATGTAGGAACAGATGAAGATGCTTCCCAGCAACAGACAGACACCAAATCTTGACAGAGAATCCACCTGCAAAGGAAAAGCCCACTCCCACAAGTCCTAGCCATCTTGCCAGCTTCTCTTGTCTTTTCTTACCAACTCAGTAAGTCATATAAAGAGCTCATTTTATATCTCTGCTTTGTCACCCATGCAAATAGTTGCTCAAGAGCTAGAGATGACCAGGGGATACTTAGTGAGATAGTTAAAACTCCTCCCTTGCAACATCAAGAAAATAAATTTTAAAATTAGAAATATCAGCAAATTATAATAACCAAAAAAGAAAAAAGAACAAAATTTGTTACGGTGATTTAAAGCACCATACTGAGATTATTTCAATATATTTTGATTCTAACTATTTTTAAAAATTATTAGTATAATTTCTGAAACAAAAATCCTTTGTCATTTTCAAGTATTTTAAGCCAAAATTATGAACAGAATCTAACCCTGACAGAAAGTTTTATTTTAATTGAACAAATGCTTTTGTCAAAATAAAACATTTAAGTGAAGAATTAGTAACTAGGTTTACTAATAATCATAAAAGGACATCAAAATTTGGCTTCAGGGTTGTTTTTTTTTTAACAGTAGATGATTGTTTAAACTATTACAAAAAATTAACACACATTAAATCTATTCTCACATATACTATTAATTCTGCATGTAGTGAAGTCATACTTATATGAACTATTATCTGTATTTTCCTACACTTAACCATGGAAATTGATAACATGCCAAGCCTATCTGCTTTCAGCTGGACATCCAATTATTGTATGTTTGGGAGTGTTACATTACACTGCAAATCAGAATAAATTCTGCAGAGAATTGAAACTTTGATCGGAAGATGGCTAAGTTACGAGATACTACATTTTGAATACTAAGGAAAGTATTATATCTGAGCCAGATGGGAACTGATTTAAACGTTGTACTACTGGCTTAGTTTTATATTCTCAAGTGAACCAAATAAAAATGTAGCTCAATACTTGCATGAAACAAAACTGTTGCACTTAAATCTGCTCTTGATAAAGGACTGCAGTTAATGTATGCATATACCTACTGAAATGCATATGTACATACAGCAGAAAAAAACAAATGCTTCCCAAACCCAGCCATGTTTTAATCCTGTGAAGGGCAACTTATTTGACATTCTCTGTGTCCTGGAGTTGTAACCCTGTGCATTCTTTTGGGTAAAAAAAATCAGTGTGCTTTGAATGAGGCTCTTCAAAGAGCTGCAATATTACAACACAGCAAAGAACATTTATGGAGGCAAGACTTCGGCACTTGTCTATGCTCTCCCATGCAGGGCAGCTGCATTTCAAAGAAGCAGTGAAATATTCTTCATGCTTTTCCTTTGGGACTGATGTAGAACTAAGAGGAAAGGATGCAACCGAGAGATACAAAAATAGGGGAACTAAAGAAAAAGCAATCTGTACATGATGTCAATAGAATCACCATTAAATACAGCAGCATTTTGGGATTTTTCTTTTCTTTTTAAAGTATAGAGCAAGGAAGATGACTCACCACTAGCAACGCAAATAAAATGACTCCACAGCTCCAGACGTCTGCTTTCCTTCCATCGTATTTTTCTCCCTGCACAGCAATGACACAGGTTCAAAAGAGTGCTCACTAGTAAATGAATTAATTACCCTTGAAGAACACGAGAGAGGAGAATGGGAATCCCCACATTTTGGTTCAGCCACCTGCTTCCCAAGGTGGACTTCCCAACTAGAAGGCCACAGCACAGCCCATTAGTTGAATTTTTATGAACATCAGTTTACAGTCTTATCTGGGTTCTGCAAGAACAGGGTCAGAAGTGGGGAGCAAGGCAGGAATGGCTGATGACTGGAACAATTTTAGAACTGGCACTTAAACAGAGTCAGAGGTGCATTAAAGACATCAAAAAGGTGTTCTTCTCTTCCTTGGTTCTTCAGGGAGCTCATCACCAGTCATGTTATTTGTGAACTCAGGTATTGGTTGGACAGTGTCCTCTGTACACTTCTTGCTTGGCTTTACATTAATGATATGCTCCAAAAGGTTGATAGGCTTCTTTCCTGAGAACTCTCTAGTTCTGGATTCAACTCCCCAGTATAAGAAGGACATGGACCTGTTGGAGTGAGTCCAGAGGAGGATATCTCTCCTATGGAGACAGGCTGAGGGAGCTGGGGTTGTTCAGCCTGGAGGAGAAAAGGCTCCAGGGAGGCCTTATAGCATCCTTTCAGAACCTAAAGGGGGCTACAGGGTGAATCTTACCCACTGGAATCTGGGGTACTTATTTTAAAAGGACAAAGGAAGAGTAGGGAGAAAGGATAGTTTATAGCACATAAAAGAAACCAACATCACTGACAGCCAACCCCAGTTCTTCTGCTGAAATGACAGCTACATCAGGGAAGGCAAAACCTAGGGGACTGTACCCCTTGAGTTGAAAGATCAAGTTAACTGAGGCTACTGCTTTTCTGTCTAAACACATTGTATAAAGGGTACTGTGAGAACAACATGGGATCATTTCCCTCCAACAGTTGATGTGGTTTGATTCAGAGCTGAGACAAACAACCAAAACCACAGTTACATTCTCTGTCTCCCCTCCCATGCTGTCTGCCGTGGACAGATTTCGTGTAGAGAGGGTCTATCTGCACACATACAATGAGTGACACTTTAAAATATAGGCACACAGATTTTAATCATCTTACCCGGATAACTTCAGGGCAGGCATAATGTGGTGATCTGAAACACAAAATACAGTTGAATGAGCATGCAACAGTCTGGTATTTATGAGTTCTTTGCATTTCCATTTTGCTTAACAGAATCAGGATTGGCTTGCTTATACAGAAAGCAAGTGTGCAAAGCCAGCACTTTTCTTCCTTAACCTTAATGAGAATACCTTGTAAGACAAACTCTGAAAACGGTCAACTAGCATAACTGCAAAATTCTGTGGCCCTACTATGAATTTCTTAAAAGCTAGAAAGGAAGGGAAGACCAGGCATATTCTGTGATTATATAAAATTCCAGCCTTCTAACGATATGCTTTTACTTGACCATGTATCTAACTAGAAGGAAGACATGCACTGGAAAGCCTTTTAGGAAAACAAACAAACATAATGTTTTCAGACCAAACACATGTATCCCCAAACATTATCTTGCATTTCTTCTACCAAGACTGCTCTCAATTATTCCAGCGGTCATTACAGCTGCCAATACATGGTTTCAACATGCTTTTTTTTTTTTTTCCTAAAAAAAACAACACAACAAACCACAACCAAAACAACCAAACAACAACAATAAAAAGGATAGACAGCAGTACTATTACCTAGCGAGTTAATATATTCTTGTTGCATCCTTCTACCCATATATCTCTGCCTTGATTCCTGGCTGAGAATAGTTAATTACTTCAACTTGCCAGGTAATCATTTTAATTCCTAAAGATTATAGCCAGGGCTATTCATTTTTATAGCCTTCATTAAAGTAACTTGACAAGAAAAAGGGATGCAAACTGCCTGAGACCTGCGTGCCAATCTCACTATTGTTTATACTGACACCTCCCAGCAGTCCCTGAGCCTGTCTTCATTTGTGCATTTGTTTCTTGTGACAAACACAATCATGGCTGGGCAATACCTGTCTCACAAAGTAATGAGCAAAACAGAAGCACAGCTCTGTCAACCTTATCACAGGTTCACCTTCTATGGTTCTACGATAAGCATAAGCCTGCTTCGACAGGGCAGCAAACGGAGGGTAGGATGGGAGGTGTAAGGAAGGTGGTAATGTGATTTAAACTTGGACAAAAATATTGTGGCAAAGAGAGTTATAGGAACAGAACCCATAGCACAGCATCCTTCAGCACAATCCTGTTTAGGTGGACATGCCACCTGGGGTGTGCTGGATGAGTCATTATCTCGATTTGCAAAGTGCTTCTGACTTTTTATTTGTATATGATGACTCCAACAAAGATTTCAGAATTCTTAATTACAAATGCTGCAGAGTACAACCATCTTGTCAGCTTTCTGTGCAAACATCCTTGAAAAGAAAAATGTAGGTGTTGTGAAGACCCCAAGATGGGTAGGTGCCCATTTATGAATCTCTCTAACAAATGCACTTAAAGCATTCTACTTCCCTGATGTCTCCTGGAGTGCAGTGGAACCTGCCAGGTGTATTTTAAGACACCAGTGAAATTCGACTAAAATTTAGGAGAATGGGCAGAGAAAAAGCTATAATAAATCCTTTCAACAAGTTGGATTGATTCAATCATTCAACAGCTGCACTGCAACTGCCCAGAGAGCACAGGTTTCTGGCATAGCCACTCTGAATTCTTGCCAGCACACACTAGCTAGATATCTGCAGCATTATCTTGGCGAACAGCTCGAAACGGGATCCTCCGGCCAGCCAGAATCCGTAGAAAACTCATTTCCATGCTGCCAATCACAGAGCAACTTCAACTGCTTTAAAGAGAAAACTCAAATTTAATCAAAAATCTATTTATCTTTCTACAGAGTCATGAATATTTCTTTGGCTCTTATCGCTAATTATTCAATATACGTGTGTCAGAGCGACATTCCCTGCCTTTTCCCTTAGGCCATCTCCTCATCTTTCAGCTACATCTCTGTGCAGCAAAAGCCACAATCTGCCCTTGATAACAAATAAGTATATCGCTCAGCAAGATCAAGAAGCAGTTCCTGCCTGCGGGTACTGCTGCAAAAAAGCTCCGATGCTGGCAGTGTTTATTTCAAGGGTGATGTTGATTTTCCCCGTCTAGCCTGCCTGGGGCAGGAAGGGCTCTCTGAGTGGTCATTCACAGCTGTGACTCTTGGACACAAGAATCTTGAAAGATCTTGGGAGCCCTTAGCAAGCATTTACATGGGACTTTGACCAGAGGAAATAAGCCAGAGTGCATCGGTGACATCCAGGACAACCCTAAACAAGGGTCATGCATGCAGAGAGAAATGGATATATCCTTGGTGCATCTATCCTGAATCTCACCTGAAAAATTAAAAAAGTCATTTCTGATCTGTGCACAGCAAGATACGATGATCCTACAGCAGATCTGAGACAACCAGTGCTGTATCTTCAGTGCAGATGTGATGTACCACTGACTTGTGCAAGCAGTGCTGACCTGCTGTCTCCTTACTCAGGTAAGAGAGACGTGCACTGTGCACACACAGCCTGCCTGCCTGTCTCTGACTGCAAAGCAACTGCTTTTCCAGGGAAGCAGTGGGTTGATCACCAAGCACAGGGAGAGCTGTTCTGTATGACCCTACTCCACAGTGTGACAAATCATCTATTGCACTTCCTGACAGTTCCCAGGTCCCATCAAAGATGAGTGTCCATGCTTGGGGCCTTTGGATCCATGAGTTAAGCAGATACTATTTGGGGAACAAGAAACGCTTCTCTGAGTGCCATTCTTCAGACCTCACAGCTGGAGGCAGTGTTTCTGCAGAAAGAAAGAAGTCTCGCTCTCTGTTTCCCTATGCGTGAAGATACCTTGATAAAGTGGATGCACTGAAGTCCTCCTGTGTCTGGCTGGTTTTGCTGTTGTTCAGATGCTAGAGTCCCTTCTACCTCCATGTTATTCAGTATCTCCAAGCTGGCTTTCAGAAACAGAAGACACTCGCTAGTGCAAAAAGCTGCCTGTACCTTCCCCCTGTTCTGGGTAGAAAAGGGCTGAGATGAAGGGGAACACCAGAGGAACAGCAAAAGAGATAAATTCCTCAGGAGTTCTTCAGAAGATTGCATGTTAGAACATCCTGAGTGGAGAAAGTAACAGCTACAAATCACATAGGAAAGTAATGCAGGGAAGAAACGGTTCCAGGAGCAGCAGGTAGTTAGGGCTGCAGTGAAGGCAGTAGCTGTAGTTAGGGCTGTAATTAAAGTAGGAGCTGTAGTTAAGGTTGAGTGCTGTTTTGCAATTACATCTTCAATTCAGACATTGAGCTCTATATGAGAAAACTCAGCATCTAGCCCTCAGCCAAGCCATCTTACAGCTGTTTACTCCTCAAGTGTAAGTACTTTCTGGGAATTTGCAAATCAGTTCATTAATTAATATATGAATTCAAATTGTTAAGACTTGGATCCTTTAAGAGATCTTAATTGAAAAACTGAAACAGGATGCTTTATTAAAAGGGCTCAAAGATCGCAAAATTCAGTATTCAAAAGCTAAGAATCACTAAAGCTTGGTCACTTGGTGCCATGAAGGACAACTTTGGGATAGATCCATCTGGTTGGCATACTGGAGAATCAAACTCTCTGCCCCTCTCACAGGATCCATCTGTGAAGGCACATGAAAAGCTACACGCCTTAAACTGAGACATTTACAACCAATCTCAAACTGCAAGTCCCTCAGTTTTCAGTATATTTAATATCTGTAAATTTAAGACTGAGATGAAAATCCTATCTAGCATTCATAGCAAGGCTTCAATGTGGTGAGCAGAAATAACAAATAGATCCATAAAATGAATGATGAGGGAAAATGAAATATTAAATAGCTATTTAAAAACAAACAAACAAACAAACAAAAAAAGCAACAACACACCACCATCAAAACACCAAATGAGACAAAGATTTGGTGAAAAAGAACTGTACAAGCTTGTAATTAATGGCCATATTCTAATGTGCATGAATGTTCTGGGGCCAAGGAAATTTTATACTGGCAACCTAAAGAGTAACATATCTCATCTCAGTGCTTTATTTTGCAGAATTAAAACTCTTTAAACATACCTTGGGATGTACTATAGGCAAGGCCAATGCTATTCCTTATTAATAAAGCTGTCTGATATTTCTCTTCATAATTCTCATTTTAAATTGCTTATGGCTTACCATCAATTTAATGTCTCTGAGAATTTCTCTGCTGGTTGTCTGCCTCAGACTGGTTTCATGTTTGTATATGTATGTGTGCTGTGTACAAGCCAAAACATTTCCACTCACTATTTAAATCTAATTTAAATTAAATATGCTTTCTCCCATAAAAAAAGGAAAATTTCCAGCATCCTCAAATGTAAAGGGAAAACTTAATGATTTGTTCACATTCTCTGGAAAAATGTATTCAAACATAACCACTAGAAAACCACAGTTTGCATTTACTGGTGGAAATTTTATAGAGCATTAAGATGAAAATTCAACCAGAACTGGCAACACTTCCCAGACCAAACTTTTTATCTAAAACTGATACCCAGCTGAGTGCAAAAATATCTGGAGTTAGATCTGGGACTGAGAGCAACAGACTGGGACAACCAAGTAGGGGAAACTAGAGCTGGAATCTAGCAAAAGAGTAAAGGATCTGGGACATGGGACAAAATATGGAGCAGAAATGACTGGGAGAATTTGTTAAGAATGGAGTGGAAAACAAAGGAGAAGTAAATGGAGTGCTGGTAATGGAAGCTCTTGGTGAGATGGGGTAAAAATTGCTAATTTTGGCATTTTCCAGGTTTAAGAGCCTATATTTGCAATGCTAGCAGGATCTGGATGCAGGACACTTGCATGTTTTAGATAACATGCACATGTTCGTATATACAGCTACATAAAGTAGAAACAATAAGTGCAGCATCATGCCTCATCATTAAAATCCAAAGCGGTGCTTGACACAGAGGTGTACGGCAGCTGGGTACTGCACCGCCCTTCTAAATTAATCTCCTCGCGGGTGTGGTGATCTGCCAAATACAAGGTGTACAGGAACCAGGAGCTAGATGAAATCTCTTAACATTTTTAACAAACACACAGCATGCTGGATGTTCCAAATACCCTGAGCTCAAAGAGAGCCAACGATCAATTCTAATGAGAACAGGTGCTCTTTTGGTGTATGCAGACAGCCGGTGGGTCTGCAAAGTGTTGCTGGGAATTGCTACGGAGAGCTGAGAGCAGAGAAATGCACAGTGCTGGTGCTGGAAGTTGCTGGTCTCTTCCTTCACTATGCCACCGGCAGGCACAACAGCTTCCTTTTCACTCAATAAAATTAGAGGTCATAATCAGCATCGTTCTCCCACAGGCACACGGCTTTCTGGATCAGGCCAGGGTTTCCCTACGGAGATGCTGTTATGGGGGGACTGCTGCACACACACCCAGTTAACTGTGGGCCTGCCAGCAGTGGTGGCAGTCTGTGTACCAACTGCCTCTTCAGAGATCAGGTCTGGTGCTACAGCAAGCTACCTTTACAGATTGGCTTTGTCCTAGCTCTCAGTTGCTTGGGATAGAGAGATTTGGAGGCAGCACAGAGAGCAGCTCTGCTGTGGGGTTCTCCTGTCTCCTGGCAGCCTGCAGCAATCTCCTTCCAGTGGGACATGGCGTTTCACAAATGAAATGAAGAGAAATGAAGAGATGGCAAAAATGTACATTGTCAGCTTTCTGTAAGGAGCAATGGGGAATTAGGAAGGATCATTACAAAATCCCAAGAATTATACCTCAACAGTATTTTCCTCAGACTTTCAGACTAGCAGTGAGCCCTCTTTGTTCAAGAAAAGAGAATAAGGTCCAGAGAATTTCCCAACCCTTCCTGCTTTTCCAAGACTCCTTTAGAAATGATTGCAGTTTATGTTCAGAGCAACTTGGGCACTGCAATGACTCGTTAAGATGAAGAACTGAAGCACAGAAAGGCAATGTGTCTTGTCTAAGACCACCCTGAATGCCTGCAGCAAAGACAGAAATCAAGCTCAGATCACCTGGGTCCCAGTCCAGAGGTTTAACCGTAAGGCACTCATTCTTCTTGCCTAGTGACAAGTCAGGAGGGATTGGACAGCATCTACCATTCCACAGCACTGCGAGGCAGCGTGCTGGGAAGAATCACTGTGAAAAGAGACAGGGAAGTGCCTCTGCACGTTACTGCCTGGAAGGGTAAAGAAGAGGAAGAGCCAACAAGTTCTGAACTAACAGAAGCAGCATCCTACCACATTCTCTGCTTCCTCCACAGTCTGCTCTTTGTTCGCAGAGCTGCTCCTGGAGGGATGCACAGACTCGTCATGTTACTTGGGCATTTCAAGGACCAACTCTCCATGAGACTGCCTTGTTGTGCAGTTGTGCAGTTTCTGCAGTAAGCACAATTATTCATAATCCTCTTCCATTCAAAGGTCTAACGATGCAAGTTTAAAACTGCAGCTTGTTCCTCTGTGCTGTGTATACACGGGATTTGTGCAATACAGGATTCCAGTAATGGGGATTAATCACAACCACAGCCTGATTTGCAGTCTGCCAGTGACAAATGTGTCAATGAAACAGCCAGTCTGTCCTTAGCTCCCTCTCCTACACAAACACAACTGGACTGAGCTTCTACCACGTTCTCCAGGTAGCCATTGACACTACAGAAAACCATGGTGAATGAGCTAAGGAGTAGCTCCCATCAGACTGACACTGTGGTGTGCCATCTGACGTATCTCAGGCTGTGTGAACATCTTGGTGAGGCCTGCCGAGGACCTGGGATGACCTAAAGCCTACCCAAACTTTGGACTCAGCAGTTCACTTGCGGCAGCAATGGATTTTTGACTGCACTGTAACTGCTCTGCTGTACTGACGAAGTTCCTTGCATCATGCTGCTACACCCCAGCTGATCCTCCCACTCTGCCTGACAGAAATACCTGGAGACTCCTTGCCTGACTGTCAATGCAAGTGTTACAGTTTCATCTCATTATCGGTGTTCACAGCACATATAAAACCATTCTGGAAATTAACTTCTGGGTGCACGGAGGAACATCTCATTAAAGCTCGGTATCTCAGCCATGATTCGGTCTGTCTTGCTCCTTTTCATGCTGGCTCAAAGTACCAGCTACAAGGGGAAGTGAAATTGTTGCCTCAAAAAGCTCTGAGGTTGGTTACTCTGCTCTCCAAGGGAAAGGGAGTCATAACTGGATTGCCTTTCTTTGTGAACAGTGTGGCACACTGTTATATACTCCTCCCTTCCTTCCTCCCTTCACCCCCCAAACCAGATAGATCACAAGACACCAGTACCAGCCATGCTGGGCTCCATGCCAGGAGAATTAATGAAGTGGTGTAATAGCTCACATGGAGGCCTAGTGATTGGCACCACACTTAAAATGCATCTGCAAGGCAGGAGATCATAGTGTTGCTGCTGTGTTCTGTTTATTACAGGCACGTCTCTTCCGTTCCATTGATTTCTTTATTAGCGCATTTTAAGGCCGCATCGTGGGGGCTGGCTCTGCTTCAAGCATGGAGGCTTGAATTCCAGCACTGCTTATGGAAAGGAAATCTCCCTTTGAGATTCTAGACCTGGATGACAGAGCCCACTGCTAACAAGAACAGGAACCCTACCGAGAGGTTCCCAGGGAGTCTGAAAAATCCTGCGGGGCAATGCGAGACTGGGTTGGGTTTTATACTTCTGGTTGTTTTTTTCACGGAAGGAAGGGAGAAAATGTTCTTCAAAGAGTAGAGAGGCTTTGTGGTAACTGCAGTGAGGACTTCATTTCTTAGTCTAGAGGGGAGGTTTGAAAGCAGCTGCAAGCAACAGATGTGCAGACTCATAGCTCCCTGCTTCTCATCTGCGCTGTTAAGAGGTCAAATCTTGCCTTGACACAGACAGGAAGGAACGGGTGCATCTCAGTGTTCTCATCAACCACCATTCGATCACATCATCAGCTTCAAACAATTTTGCAATCCATTATTCAAGACCTGGAAAGCAGAGCCGTACAGCTCAGGACCGAGAGGCAGTGGCTGTGCTGTGCAGGGAACCAGGACGGCTCCACGAATTGCCTTGCCTCAGGGCACAGACTGAAAAAACACAGACTGTAGCACACTGAGGATGGAGATGAGCTGCAGTCATCAAATTTACACTGCCAGGGGCCAAGAAGAGTAGATCTATACCGGAGGAGATGCAAAGCTGCTGGTACTGCCTGCAACTCCAGTTGCTGAGCTCACTGCTGTAACAAATTCAGACGCCACGAAAAGCTGGCGTAGTGGTGCCAGGCTGCAGCAGCTCGATGCAGCTGCTGCCCTGCCACAGCTCACTGCAGCATTACAATGCACAGTCAACGCGCCACAGGGCCACGGCTGGGGGGGGGTCTGTGGTCCTATGGGTGCCTGCAGTGTCCTTAGAAGTGACAGGGATCAGAGGATGTTGCCTCTCAAGAGCTAGCCCTGTCCCCAGTGAGGCACCAGGGCTTCACTCGGCTGTTGGGCTTATTGCTGGCTCCCTTGGACATTCCTGGAAAGCTCCTGCTGGCAACCAAATTAACACAGAAGTGTTTTTATACTGCCCCTGCAGTATTCCTCCAAGCAGCCTTCTTTGTATCTGCATTCATGCCCTGCTTGTAATTGCAAAGGACCCTCTGCTGCCTCCCTGTCAATCCTGGATGTGAGCCGAAACGAAGCACAGTGGAACACAAACAGGAAGAGCTGCAAGCAGGCAGCCTGAACACAACACACAAATTCCATTTCAGCTCCCCTAGATTCGTTTTTTTTCTACCCCCAATATTTTTAAAGCCACTTCTTAAAACTGCTACCACTACTGCTTTAATTTCCCAAATATTATATGTCCAGTGAAAGCAAACAAGCCAGCACAGGCAGATGAGTCCAAACCTGAAAGCTTTGATTTTCATATCCACATATGACATCTACAGAAGCCTACTTTTCACTGTAAAACACTTAAAAAACCCACCCTTCTTTTAGCTAACTTATGCACTACATACGTCTTATCAATTTACTAACTTCCTGGGAAATAATGAGGCACAGTGTAAGCTTGTAGGTCTTCCTCAAACCCCCTGTTATTGACAACTTTATGTCTGGAATCCATCACTGATTATTTGCAATATGCTCTGAGACACTCACCCACAACTGGTTTCTAACAAGCTGTCCCCAACCTGCAGCGATGCCATTCCAAAGTCTGCTATCCGGATGTTGTTCTTTTCATCCAGCAGTAGGTTTTCTGGTTTTAAGTCCCTGTGGCTGTAAAAAAAGGATCAAAATGTGAGTTAAATTATTCCTGACAGCTTTCCCACTCCAAGACTTGTTTTTTTTTTATCCAGTATAGCATCCAACCTATTATATTTTAATTGATTTCATTCTTTTTCTCTCCCAGATAGGAGAACACACATATCCAAGATCCAATCTTTGCAATACTGTAGACTGTCTCCCAAATGCCCACTCCTGATGAATGTAAAGCTCGAGACTGCACTGCCCTGATAGGAAACGAATATCTGCACCTTCCAACAATATCAAGATAATTTGAGGGAGGAACTGAGGGAAATCAGAGGAAATTTTCAGTTTGGATTTAGAGCTGATATATTCCATCAAATGCCAACTCCTTAAGGTAGGAGTGAACATCATCAGTATATTCTGTCAACAACAGGAAACAGAATTAGTGATATCTAGAGGAGAAAAAGCAGACTTGTTGTTAAAGCTGCTGCAGAAAGACCCTATTAGGAGTTGTTTACATAGGGATATATCTTTGAAATCATTTCGGGCAGCTAGTTCTGATGGAGAAACCCCTTGAGCCCAGCACTGCTTATAACTGAGGGTGTCAGCACTGGGAAGGAAGAGGGAGGATTGCCTCCTTTCAAGCAAAGCTCAATTTTCTTATTATTTGGCAACATGGGAACAAGCCAGGCAGCCACATTGCTGTAACATGGTAAGCACTTAAAGCAGGATGGCAACTCCTGCTTTAAATCAAAGCAATTGCACATTGTCTAATTTATTAATTTCCATTACCCACAGCCAACACCACCATGCACCCGTCCACTTCTTAGAACTCAAGTGCTTTTGCACAACTTTTACATTTACTTGATTTTATATGCACAGAGAAAAACCTTGTACAAAATTTGTGATGATTTCGCTTTTTTTTCTTTTTATTTGCAACTCTTCGAGTCACAGAGACGAGAGAAGCACTTCAGGCAAGCTGAAGAAGCAGCTCTTCTCTTGTTTTTGCTTATGAGAAGGCAAAATGTCCATCTTTGATGTTTTGTTTGATAAAAGGTGCAAATCGGAGAAAACTCTTCCACAGCAGAACAGCACGCTCAGGTACTCAGTCTGAACACAAACCTGTTGGAAATGGCTGATTGACAACACATCTGTCAGGCAAACAATAGCCATTTGCTACAATGGTTCAGTAAAAACAGCTGCCTGCCCAGAAAGAGAGCTCTGCAGAAGACCCCGCATTAGCAGCGACACCAGTCGCGGAGCTCTGCCCTATCTTTATGCCATTTTCTTTTCACCTCTAATTGCATCCTCTAGCACTGCTCCTGCACACAAGTGTAACTCTACCCCTAAACACCTGTAAAGGCGCTCAGTCTGTATCCTCTCAGAGGAACATACGGAGCGTGACAATGCCTTGGAAATGATCTCTGATCTGAACAGAAGTCTGGAATGATCAATTAGAGACAACTTGTAAATAATGCAGGCCAGCTCTATGCAAAACCAGAGCATGCTGTAATAGGACACTTGGGGAGTGTAACGGATAGAGCTAAAGGAGGCTTCCAGCAAAATAGCACGTGTTCCAAACAGATACCGGCCATTCACCTTATCACTGAGTCCTAGGACTGCTCTTCCCTTCCTTTTTTAAAGAGCATAAAACTTGGTCTCCAGTCTTGCATAAACACGATGAACCCTGCATGTTAATGCTGCCTTGTTAACCATGAGCAAACAATCTGGTAAATAACTGAGCAGCATGGTTCAGATTTGTGAGTATTTTCACCTGAAAACGCAAAATGTACTCTATAAAATCTCTCTTTCTCATAGAAATCAAAGTTTCAAGGGGACTGAAGACTCATCCACCATGCAACAAATACCAAGAAAACCATACCTACTTGAAAAAAAGCTGGAGATGAGTGACAATGAAATGTTTTAGGACTGGGAATGACCAGTTAGCAGTCAGGAAAAGAGGCCCTGAATGCCCTCATCAAGGACAGTAGTCCTGGATAAAGGCAGCATTTGCTGACACCTGCCACATCTGAACGTGCTCCAGCCCCTGCAGTGAAAAGGACAGAAGAGCCCACCGTCCTAAGGCAAGCTTGGAAAACTGGACACTAATGAGACAGTGGTGTGTGATTTAATCTTTCATCCAGCAGACATCCTGGGCAGCTCTCATCTTACAACTGGTTTCACTAATTGGGTGCTGGGAAGACCTCACCTGACCAGGGGGATGCGCAGAAGTTCTCTGGTCTGAGGACTAGGGCCCAGTGGCAAGTAGCAGTTCCCTGTAAAGTGAGCGGTGCTTGCCTGACGCTATGAAACAAGAAAACTCCCCACAGCACAAGTTGAGCGTGTGTCCTTCTGCTCTGTGCAGCTTTTTAAATGGTTTTGGTTGTTTTCCAGTCTTGGTGACTGCTCCTGGCCAAATGCTGAACAGACACATGGTGTGGATGCTGAGGGTGTTGCTGTCCATGCCTGTTAGCCTGCAAGGAGCAGCACTTGCTGATGCCATAGACATTCATTCTATAGCAGGCATCCCACTGCCTGCCTAAAAAGATTGCAATTCTTCACTCATCCTAAAATTGTACAGTTTTATTTAGAGAGAGGGAAGAGCATTTGAAGGAATGTCTGTTCCATATGGCTGAAGCAAGTCTCCTCAGTGCTGGTGGCCCTGCTCTTTGTCTGGTCAGCTCTCAGTCGGCTGGTAAGGTCAGTAAGGATGCCAGCTAATTCCAGTCATATGGACAGTTCCTGTAGGAACAATACCAATGAAAAAATGTAGTGAAGTCACTCTGAAGTGACAATTTTTATTTTTTATTTTTGGAGAGCCACGGGAAGTGAGGGAGGATAGAGGATGCCTTCATCGACACTCCAGATGTGAAGTAAGCTTCATTTCACTGTGCTGTGCTTCACTTCGTCGTGAAGGGTCAGCCTACCTGGGCTGATGGAGCTCTTTGGGTACAGGTCCTGGCCCACCTCACGGAGAGCATTTTGAAAGCTTTACATTAGAGCTTAGGATCAGTGGGACTAGGATGGTTGGATAATGTGTGTGGAAGGAAATCTGGAGTAGTGTCAGGCCTTGAAGTTTTGGCTTTTAGTCTCTAGACTCTTGCCAAAATAAAACCAAGGAAAATTACCATCTCTTCTCTACAGCCCACGCAGCAGAGGGGAGAGAGTGGACTCCGACAAGAATTGAAACGTTTCCTTCTGACTGGGCATTGAAATACCTGAAATTGCAGCTCTCTGACCCTCCCCATCCCTCCCTCACACAGACCCTAGTGCCAGGTGTGGATGGCGAGCACAGGAACCCATGGCGGCCCTGAGCATTTTTTGTTGTGGCAGCACTCCCCTTGGGGATCAGGGTGCCAATGGGACCAGGCAGTGCTTGCATATTCAACCACAAGAGAATTTTATGCCCCTGATGGAAGTTTTCTTCTAGCTGGGACATTTCCCTGCTGGGAAATCTTTGGACCGTTTTGAATTTGAGAAGCATCTTGGAGATGGTATTGAGGCCAGGAGTATGCACCAGAGTGGCAGAAGCAGCATCCCTGCCACTGGGAACGAGACCTCCTCTCTGCATTTGCATTTCCCATCTCTGCACTGCCAGCTTTCCAAATGCCAGAAGGAAGGAAGAGGAACATATGGGAATAGGGAAGGCTTGTTATAATTTACCTAAGAGCCCAGCCGCCCGGACGGCCTCATATTTGGAAAGAATTCTCTTGTGCCAAAACGAAACAAAAACAAAACAAAAATCCCACTGTATGTGGTAATTACTTGGCATTAATGGAACATTGCAGAGTAAATGCATTTAATTTGGTCCCATTCCAGCTGATCTCTCCGGCTCTCCATGTCTTCTATGACCGCATCAACTCCTCTCTCTGCAGGTGAACAGAGGACTCGTTACCCTTTCATTGTTCTAAAGGCTCTAAAGCTGTGGGGGCTTTAGCACATGGCTGGGAAATCAGAATAGAAGAAAGTAGCTCCTTTAGTGACAAACAGGCAAACTTTCCTCTTGAGCCCTGCATATGCTGAGAAGGCACACGAAAGCGAAATGAAGTCCTGCAGGAGAAGTCAGCGTGACCCTGACCTAGGGTGTCACAGAGTGCCCAGAGCTCCTCGCCTAAGACAACGGAGAGGGAAGCCAGCTCCACCAGCCTGCATGCAGCAGGCTTTTGAAGGGAGAGCCTGTGAGTGAAAGGGAGCCATTGAACATGCCATGACAGGGAAAGTACACACTGTCAGGCTCTCGGCATCATCCGTCTTTTGCATAATGCAACAAAGGCTTTACAGTTCCCTTGCAGCACAAGATGAGGAGCGGGGGGAGAGAGGAAGAGAGAGAGAGATTTCTGAAAAAATGGTCCCGTGGAAATTGGCACAGATCTCAGAGGTGGTGCAGAGAAAATGAAAGGCACATGCAAGCATTAACGTGTTCCAGCTTCCCACTCACATGCTGGCCAAGCTTGCTTTCTGGGCGCTCCCAGTGATGCTATTCAGCTTCCTCCACTCACCTCTCCAATCCATCCTCCTGCTCTGGGGATATCCCCGTAGCTATACTGCAGGCAGTCACAGCACAGTAAAAAAAGAGAAGTAAAGCAACCACCTTCTCCCCATCACCCAGGGTTGGCAGAAGATTTCTGGTGCAGAGACAGATTTGAGATCTTGGATTCAAAGAAACTATGTCACTTGGCACGAGATGATGAACTAACCCATTATTTTAAAGTGATTTTTGAGCTGAAACGTTCATATCAGTTTCCATGACGACTCGTTGTAGGTCACGGATTTCTAACCCAAGAAACCTCCTAATTGGAGTAGTTGCAGGTCATTTGTACTAATCAAATTGTTGGCTACTTTGCAAATGCTTTTCTTACTGACCCCAAACTCCCAGAAGGGCCCAACCACAGAATAATTGTTCTGCAGTATCCTCTTAAAAGTGCTTAGCACAAGCCTGATGTGATGCAAATAATTTACCAGTAATAATTAATAGTACGAGAAGCAGTATTTTTAATTTTCATAAGCAGAAAAAGCCTTTCATCTTATTTTCTTTTGCTTCTGCAAATGAGATCCAAATGTGTAACTTGCATCTACCTACAGAGGAATCTTTGTTTAGAGTCATGGTTGCTATGCTCAAATTTAGTATTTTTTTCACAGAATCCTGCAGAACAAGTAAATATAGTTATAGCTAGGAAAAAGGACAACATCTATAAACATATCAGGAGACCTGAAGAAGGACTTGAATGCCTGAAACCCTGTCTTATTTTTTATACAATTATTTCCACTGATCTATTAATATATATTACTCCTCCTCGAAAACCTTGCCTCAAAACATATATTCATGTATTCCAAAGCCAGAGCTGACTGTCAGGTCTCATCACTACAAATGTACTTGCCAAAGATTGTTACCTGGTTATGCTTACAATAAGACTATGCCATTTTTGATTTTCCAGTGGCTTACATAAAAAAACTTACAAAAATACATGTCCTCTGACTTCAGCTGAGCTGGTAATTTTGCCTGTGACATTGCAGCTGCTGTACTTGATGGTTTCTCTCCAGTTTCCTGTACAAGGAAAATATGAAAATTCCTCGCTGTTTGGAGTGAGTCTCAGTCATATACCTGCAGCTCCTGGATTCAGGCAATGACTGGCAAATCTCAGCACTCAACAGCGGAAAAAGGCACCTTTTGAATTTGATAGTCTGAAAGAAAATTTCAAACTCCAAGGGCTCAAAGATCCCATGAAGAAATAACAGAAACCAACATTATTAAGCTTTGTGATTTCTAACACAGTTTCACATCTGGAGGCCCTGTGTCATGATTTCAAAGTGTCCAGCTGTGGTAATTTTAATTATTCAGCAGACCATCTCTGCACAACAGTGTAGCATCCTCCTTATAAAAGAAGCAAGGCAAAGCTGGAATCACTGGGAGGGTGGGATTATCTAACAGAAAAGGTTTCTCATGGCACCTGGCATTCCTCAGCTTTCTCTGCTTCTTGAAGACATTCCAGGTTTCTTCCTAAAAGCGTGCTTCCTTTACTGACAGTGCTCTGCAGCTCCTGCCTGCAGTAATATACCAGAGATTTTGGCACTACCGCTGTGAAATCTTGAACTGCTATTTTATAAGGAGCCATTTCCCCTCCTGCACCAATGGGAAGAACACCAGGCGAAGCCAAACAAAGCTCTTATTCATTGCCTTAGCCCCCTAAGTCACACACCCCCATGCCTACGCAGGCACACACAGACACACTTCAGCAAGAGCCTTGTGCGTACTCAAGCAGGCACAGCCCCAGGCAATGAAAGGAGAAAGGGCCCTCGTAATTGTCATTTATCAATATTCATAAAGAACCTGCCTTAACCCCTCTTGTGCATACTCGGGGAGAAAAGAAAAAAAAAAAGAAAAAAAAAACACAACACAAAATGAAACCCAACCAAAATAAAAATAAAATGAAATAATAATCTTGCTGCTCATTACCGCAGGGGATTTCCTCTCAATGTCACCACTGCCCTGTGCAGTAATTGGCATTATCTGTTATCTCTGAAGCCATAATAAGGTTTGCCACGGGGCATTTTCTGTAATCATATTTTTATTTGTCAGCTTGTGAGATAGAGGCACCGAATATGAGCTTGACCAAAGCACAAACCCAGCGCACAAAATCCAGCCGCGGCCAATCCCGGCGCTTGGCGGTGATGTCACCCGCAGCCAATGCGGCACCCGCAGCTCCCCTGCCCCGCGCCCACCTCCCCGCTGCAGCATCCATTCCCTCGCTGCACCCAACAGCCTCCTCCCGAGGAAAGCAAGGATCTGAGACCTACCCCAGTACGTGCTCCTCTACTGCTTTTTGCGGAAAATATAGGCGGTGCTCAATTAGCTGAGAGCTCTGGATGCAGGCTATGCAAAAGGGCTATCGATTTGGGGCATCCAGCCCAGACAACTTAAAGGTCCTGATATAAGAGGGCAGGCACCCAGCATTTGGTAGCTTAGGAAAAAATCATTAGCTACATCCAGAGAAAACCTCCCAAGCTAGAAAGGTCTGACACCGATGCCCAAGGGATCCCAGGTTCCTCTGCCATTTCTTACACTGCCTCTGAGCGTGCCTGTGCTGTGTGCTGCAGCACGGCACAGAGCCCTGGGAGCTCGCCGAGCTGGGAGCAGAAGCAGTAATGCTGCATCACTGAGCTCACCGGTTTGCTTGCTAGCTCGGGAAAAGCACCAAGGTAACGCACACACTGTTTGCAGGATGCCACGGAATGCCTCGGCACAGCACTATCTGTTTTGTTTTTAAATGGGTGCTATGCCACCCATGGAAGCCCTTAAAGAACCCTCCAGCGGGTTACCAATGAGCTTCCCCCCATGGCCAAATGCACAACAAAACTCCCTAAGTAACTGCACCTCGGAGTGAGCTACCTCAAATCTTTGTCCCCAGTTTCCACTACACAGAGGAACAGAAAGCTCCTGCATTTTTTTAAAACAACATGCAAACACACTGAAGCTCCAATCCTATTTTGCTTCTTTGTCTGAGCTGCTTGTTTGAAGACACCTTCTCAGACACAGGTGATCTCTCCACACAGAAGCAGCAGAAGTCTTTTATTGACGGGAGCACTGGGGAATCCTTTCTGATTCTTTGATTCAGGAATCCTGACGCATCAATACATTTTGAGCAGGGAAAACTGAATGTGGTTACATACTGCAGTAAAAGTAAGCCATGGGTATTTCTCTGTTTTGGGAGGTAATGGAAGACGATCGGATGATGATATGGGTCTGGGGACACCAGGCTATCAATCTATCCTGCCAGTGGGTTACAGGCACCCACGTTTAGTCATTAACCAAAGCAGAAGCCTTCATTTTTCAATGTGGTCATAACTGGATAACCTGGCTGATGAGATGATTTGTCATTTCACTGCCCCACGACAGGACAAGGTCAGGCTTCATTGCTTAGGAAAGCACATTAACTTTTTTATTCTCACACAGACGCACACAAATACATTTATGCACGCTCTGATTTTCAAAAAGGGTTTAATGATAACTGTTCAGAATATCACCCAGAGCCTAGCATAACACAGACCACACAAGACTCAGAGTGACCGGGAGGGAAGGAGAGCTTATGATTCACTGCTAGCTTATTCAGCACTAGATGCTAGTCTAGTGGGAGCTGGCAAGGAGACAGGGGATTTACTTCTAAACAAGACTACTGCCCACAATCCAATATATTTAATAGAGGAAAATGGACTCCTCAAGAGAAATGTGCACTCTGCCTTGGAAATTCCACATCCCCTTAAACCTCCAGAAGTGCTTGTCTGTCATGGTGACAGCCTCACTGCGACCCTCGCTCAGTTTATTAAAGTCAGACACATCAAGAGGTGCCCAACACAAGCCCAAAGGACTGGCGTGTATGTGTATATACATATGCTTTCTGAGAAATGTCTATCCCAACTGTGAATCATATTTCTCTGGCATATTCATTCGAAAGAGCAAATCACTTTTCTTCAGTTGTAGTTAAACATATTTTGAGTGTTCTTGGATTGGGTATCTAAGTGTTAAGCCAAGCAGGGCACAGAAACACCTATGTATGCAAACCACTGCCCAGTCAGAGTAGTTAAAAAGTTACACTTGTACAGCCTACAAAGGATTGTACTGATTATGAGGTCATGATCCCTCAAACCAGTTGATTAGCAGAGAGGAAAAACTGTGGAATTCACAGAGCAAAACTCCTCCAAGGTGCCAACAGAGAAAACTCTAGTCAGGGCAAACAACCTGCTCGCAGTTTCTCTGGAAATTTCTCTGGCTATTACAAACCTGCCTGTGCCAGGTAGGCATTGTCCTCAGGATGTTCCCACCCAGACCTACCATCTTTGGACTACTGCTTCCACTAACAGTATACTCTTCTTAATATGTCCTCTAGAAAGGCTCTTATTTCCCTTTCCATTTATTAGAAATATGCTCTCTTTCAAATTAATATTGCATGTTGACTTGAGTCAGAGACATAAAGGGAGCAGGCTAAAAGACCGAGTGAAATATTTAGGCATCCATTTTTGCTGCAGCCATTTGTGCTGCAGACATCTGGGTTGGGAGTTCTCCGCACAAAACTGGGGGTACAGAAATCACTGTATGGTTACTGAGAGGTAGCCACATGGTGATTATGCAAATCCTTCTGCTGCAATATCTAACAGCAGCCCTTGGCCTCCTGGAGAGGGGAGATCTGTGGCTGGCTGTGGCTATGGAGAAGCAGCCACGCAGACATAATGTAAATGTTTTCCCCCAGCCAATCTAACTGCAAGGAGCTACATTTCTCAGAAATAAGCAGGTCAGCAGCTGCACAGAAACTCTGTACTCAGACTGATCATAACAACTTGATTTCAGTATAATTTCAATTACCTAAACTTGTTGAAGATGAAGTGGAAACTGGTCCAATGTAAACCACCACCTGAATACACAGGTTAACCCATACTCGATGGTTAAATCAACTGATGGAGCTAGTTAATATCAACTGCAGTCAGATCAAGGAAATTCTTCCCTACTGGAAAGGAAATTAAAGGCAACAATGACTCCAATGCCCAGAAGGGATTCAGTCAAAGTTGCCAAAAGCCAGCGGGCTTCCAAAAACTGAAGGATGCCATAAAACGACTTGTCTGTATTGGTAACTGTCCCAAGTTTCTTCAGGGACTCGTTTTGAAATACTGTTTGTAATTCTCAGTTATTAGCAAGTGTCACCACGAATGATGGAAATTAAACAGCTTTTCCCTGATGGTTTTGGTTTTCCTGGTTAAAGCATTCCCTGTGAATTAATTCTTTTCCAGTGAGAAATATGAAGGACAACGTACTCCATGAAAGGTCTCTCTCTCACTGGTGCAGCCATGCATTTAAAATATGCCAGCACTTAATACCTTTAGAGCTTTACAACATCAGTTACTTAATAGTAAATAAAAGTGTCAAGAAATAAGATGCCTTTAACACATGCTTTTATGAACAGGTAACACCTGCTGGAATGGCTGTACTCACCATATTGAATGACTATGGCAGAAGTCTAAAGCAGAGATGATTTGTCGGAAGAACTTCCTGGCTTCTTTTGGTGTCAATCTTCCCTTTTTTACAAGATAGTCGAAGAGCTCCCCACCTGACACGTGTTCTAGCACCAAATACCTAGAAAAAAACAAAGCCAGGATTTTGTAAGCACACTATCATACAGCTTCTCACACACACACAGTTATATAAACACCTCTGTCTACACACGGCCAAGGAGAACGCTTACGGAAAGAACAGTAGAAGAAGATTAAAAATTTTAAATCAGGGGTGACTAATATTTTTAACACGGGTGCCCCTACAGATTAACAGGGGTTCTGCAAACTTTAGACAAGCAAATGATTTGAAACTAATCAGCCTTTCACTGATTTGTTGGATTTGGTGTTTGATAGTCTAGTGAGAGATAACGCGGAAGCCAAAAATGACCCAAGAAACCAGGAGGGGAAGAAGAGAATAATCAGGTATACGCTGATGTGCTTATACCTACTGTGGAGTGAGGCTGCATACTAGGAAGACGCAGGTTCCCTAACCGAGCTGACAGTTCCTTTATAAAACAGCCTTGGCAAAGCTGCACTCACGTACTGCTCTGTCTTGGACACCTGGGAACCAGACAGATGTCAACAAACTAGAGGGAGTTCAGAAAAAAAGGTGAATAGTTTAAATTATGAGAAAAGATCAAAAGAACTACATGTGTGCAGCCTCAATAAAGGGCTTCAGCTCTTGCTGTTGAACAGCAGTTATTTGCTGGAGCAGCTGTTCCCCCCCAACTCACATGTGAAGAACTGAGTGAATAAATGCAGCACAACAGGGGCCTAGGAGCAAGAGAAGAAAACTCCAGTCCTCACACAGCACTCTCAGCAATCAAAGAGAGAAAAGTGAAATCTTTGGGAGGGAAAGGACTTGCCATGGATGGACCATCTTCCTCTTGTAAGCAGGTGTAATGAAAGGCAGCCAGGCAGAAGAAAACTTATAAAAAATAAAACAAATTTAATAAAACTTATTAAAACAAATCTCTAGAGATGTTGCATAATAGTAGAATGGAAATAGTTTCCCTAAGGGAGCGGCACAAACACCATCAACTGAAACATTTAAAAATAAATTAGATATAATCTGGACTAAACCGTAGACTTCTATTGGCAAGAGGATTGCTTGAAACCTCCACGGACTTCTTCCATCTCCACTGCTGTTCTGAGCTCTCCTGTCTCCTTGCCTGATTGCCCAGCATACACTATTCTAATATAGAATGAAAAATTATGCAGTGAGATTATTTGGTTTTATTGCTCAGGGTCTGGAATGACAATGATAAACAACAAATGACTTTTTAAAACTGAAAATTCACTTTTGTTCTTTGTTTCAAGCAGCTCGACTGGCTTTTATGCCCTTCAGCTCTATAAGAGGGGCAGAACCACACTCCCCCTTCACTGCCTAGCTCCTCTGAAGTCAGTTTCAGGGCTGCGTGGCCAGGCAGGTGACTGGAAAGGTGACTTCTGTAAGGCAATAAAATAACGGGGCTTTCAAACATTTGGCAGCTTGTTTGAGAGCCATCACTGGAAAACTTGCAAACAAGAAGTGGAGTTGTTTTTTTCCAAATGTGGAGTGTGCATCTCTGTTCTTATGCCAACAAGGCTCAGCGTGGTCAGCACAACAGACCGGGCTGGTCAGTATGTGCAGTATGATCCCCATCGCTCAAGGCTTTGCTTTACAGCAAAGTAGTTTTATTACTCGTATTAATCCAACTCTTCAAATTTGAGAGGACAATGACAAAATTAATCCAGGATACTGTCCTTTTGTACCTGAAGCAATGTAATCTTCAAGGAAATCTCTGGAATGGAAGATGGGAATAGTTCATAAACTTGGGGGCTTAATTACTCCTGTTTTCAGAGTTTCCAAAAAGATGGAGTAGGGAAAGGAGTACAAGATGGTCTGAGGAAAATAAAATTGGCTTAACAATAATGGCATCAGCCTTCAAGGTGCAGAAGTGGGACCTGAGCTCCAGTTTCAGCAGCATCTCCTGTGCACCAGCCACGTTTCACATCCCAGCCAGAAAAAGAGACAGCATTTCCTGGAGCCCCAGAGCCATCTGAGAGCATCTCCCTTTCTTACATGAATGCAGCAGAGAATGCAGCAAGGGACAGACGTTAACACTGCCTTTACAGCTAGGTGAGTAGGATAGAAGCACAAAAATGTGGACAACAAAGTGAATTTCTAAATTTTAGGGAACCATAACTATATTTTCGGCGCTTTCTAACAAGATATTCTCCCACGTGCCTGGTGACAGGACGAGGGGGAATGGGCTTAAGTTGCGCCAGGGGAGTTTTAGGTTGGATGTTAGGAAGAACTTCTTTACTGAAAGGGTTGTTAGACATTGGAACAGGCTGCCCAGGGAAGTGGTGGAGTCACCATCCCTGGAAGTCTTTAAAAGATGTTTAGATGTAGAGCTTAGGGATATGGTTTAGTAGGGACTGTTAGTGTTAGGTTAGAGGTTGGACTCGATGATCTTGAGGTCTCTTCCAACCTAGAAATTCTGTGATTCTGTGATTAAAAAAAAGATAGAAACGGTTCTAAAAATATGTCAATATTGGCAATTTTTCATTAAAATGAGTAAAGAAGAGAAAAATCTAGATTCAAAAATCACATTTGGAATATCTGGGTTACCTTCTCTCCTGGAAGAGATAGGTACTGGCCAGACTGGCTGCTGAGTACACCCTGATAATATGGAGATCACCTTTCCTTTGCATTGTGTTTTCTCAGCAAGACATTGAAGCACTCAGAAGAAAGCTGACATGCAGTAGCCATGGGCACTGGGCTGTCCACAAATTCAAGTCCCAGTCCTCACTTTCCAAATCCTAGCTAACAGACACTCTCCTACGAGGGTTTGCTATATAATTCATTCTCCCTCTCATACTAGAGACAGATTTGGCTAAATATCCCATATGGCAGACCCAAACCTGGCACAGAATCAATCCTAAAATTCTCCTTGACAGCTCCTTCTCTCACTGTGCCCAGCAGAACCTGGATACAGCAGTGCATCTTGCCCCCGAAATTCAAATTGATAGCTGTTTTCTTTTCCTGGGAGGAATTTTATGAAGATGATTGCAGTTACAGGCATAGAGAAAACCATCTCCACTGGTTTCAAATGCACGGTTTTGGAAAATTACAGACCCAGCATTTCTGTCACCCACAGCAGGAACTGCAAAGCAATTTATTTTCATCAACTTCATCTTATTAAAAACACTCAACAAAAATGCACTGACATGTTGTACAAAAAATAAAACAAATTGAAAGACAGGGAGCATTTACAAGGTTATTCATTTCTGCTTGCCACCCAGAAGCACCAGATATAATAATGCAAGTGAACAGGGGAGAACATCTGAAAAAGATTTGTGCCTATGACAAGTTAAGGGACATAGAGAAGCACAGCGACGATGTATCCTGATCTGACAAAGCTCCTAATGTGACAGGAGTTAGAAGGACGATGAACACATTCCCCAGTGGTCAAGTGCAAGAAACAAATGCTGCAGGGATTGTTCCACGAGTACAATGTGGTTATGTTGCATCCAGCATTTCTGAGCTCAGATTTGCAGCTGGTCGCCTGCCAACCTATTCCCTCCAGTACAACTGTGCTGCGTTTTTTTTTAGGATAGCCCCCAACTAGGAGACTTTTGATTAAACAAGGACACCATTCAGCACCTGCCTCCATCTCGGTGCCAGCCAAGGTTTTGCTGGCACGTGACAGGGCACAGCAGCAGTCAGCGCACACGCTATTTCCAAACAGGCCAGTGAGAGGGGTTTAAACATTTCCAAGTGTTGCACCAGATCTAACCACCACCATGCAGCTTACCCAATCCCCACTCACTACTATGTATACATATTTCTGTCTCTCTCTATTTTTATGTGAGTAACTCCATAAAGGAAAAACATACACATTCTGAAAGGCTTTCAAGCCAAACAGAAAAAGCAAATGAAAGAAAAAGCATTATGCCAGAGGCTGGAAAATAAGGAGTACAGACACAAAATCTTTCCTGAATCTGTGGCACAGAGGAGAATCCGGATCTCCTGAGTCCACACCAGTGACTAAAATCCTTTACTTGTGTAAAGTGCTATGGGATTGGAAGCATGCCAGCGCCAGCTCTTGGAGGACCTAGGAGAAGGTAAATAGCATAGAGCCTGCAGGAGAGAAAACACTAAAAAGTATTTTCCTGTGTCTCTCCTTCCCTTTTTAGCTTTCCCAGATACGACATGCTCTCATCTCACTTTGCTACTGTTTTTCCCATTTTTTCAGAGCAAGGGAACGAATTCTAAAAACCCAGAAGAGTTGCCAGCACTACTCTCCTATTACATTAGAAGATGAAAAGTGACTTACAGGTGAAGGAAGTGTTTTTTAAATCCTGCCTACGTAAGACTGATGGCATCAGTCTTCCCACTGTAAAAATGGAACAAACCCTGCTCTGTAATTGCCATCGCAAGGAAGGCTCAAGGAAAGGCAAGGCTGGCAGCAGGCACCCCACCTGCAGGGATAATACAGACAGGGGCTACATTAGGACAAAAGACTCCATAAGAGCACTTAGCTCCCACCTCTTGGATGCTCTGGGCGCACACCAGTTCTTCTCATCCTTGCATTTCACATGGGACAACCATTGTGCACATTACCTCCTGTTCTTTACAAAGTCACCCAGTATCTGAGCTGGGCTTAGTCCCTGTTGTCTCTTGCCCCTTTCTACTCAATGCTGTCCCCACCAGCTTCCTTTCTGCTTGCTAGGACTGCAAAAATGAGAAACCGACAGGCTTCTGCAGCTTGCTATGAAGCCTATTGCACATGGTGTTAAAAATAAATTCTCAATCAAGGATTTTCCTCACTAGATATATTCTTTAAGAGGTTGCAAAAGTTTTTGCAGGCAACAGCTTGCTTTCATAAGGACACCAAGGCCTAAGGCTTGCATGGTATTTCTTCATGCCCCTGCCACAAGCCAAGATATGAAACAAAAACATCCCCGGTGAAGATTCTGAGTCTCAATGAGACAACACTTTGATTTTTCAAGACAAAGAAGCTAAATGCTTAATGCAAGAATGGTTTCATCTGCTGGAGTGGAGCTGAGAGATTGCACGCAGCTGTGTTTTAT